AAGCAGCAGGCGGCATACGGGTTGTGGCGGAGGGTGGGGGGCTGGGAGATGTGTAGGGGGGGGGGGAGGGGTGGGGGTGGGGGTGACGCTGGGGGGTGGAAGATTGACATACATTCTTCAACGCAGTCCTCGCTGGCCTTGCCGTCGTTCTCAATCTGGCCTGTCACCCGTTGAGCGCACTCGTCATAGTGGTGCTTGGGGCCGTGGCATTCCTTGGACTCGGCGCATTCTGCATGAGGTTGTTAGCCACGGTGCTCTCTGCGATGGCTCTAGGCATGCGGTGATTTCGATTCTGTGGGTGCCTTGATCGGAGAATGCATCCCCAGGCGTAGCCATCTAGAGCCGCAATGCGCCTCTCAAGCGGCGGGTGTTTTGTTCCTGGGTCCGGGATAACTTACCCTTCTCGAGTTGCTCCTTGGGGTCCGGCGTCTCCTCCTCTTCCTCGTCCTCCTCCGGCTCATCCTCACCACCATCACTGGGCTTGTGTCCCTGCTCTCCGGAGTCGCCGCCGCTCTTCGCGTCCTGCTTGTTGACATCGGCTTCTTCGGAGCTCTCCTCGTCGGTGCCGGAAGCGGGCGTGTTGGTGCTGGTGCCACCTTGGACAGGCGGTTGGCCCTCGGCGTCGGCCGAGGGGTGGGAGAAGGTCTCCCAGACGTCGGAGAAGAAGTCGGTGATACCCATTGTGAATGCTCCGGGGCAATTGGGGGTCCTCGAGTTGGGGTGCAGGTGGTAGCGGAGGAGTGGGTGATGATTCGGAGAGCTGCGAGAGGTCGGCATCACGAAAATGGGCGACGCCAAGCATTCCTGAGGTTAGCGGCGTCATGTAATTCTAAGCCATCTCAGTGGTCTCTGACTTGGCTGCACCACACACCATGTATTTCTTTAACAGCGTGCTATTGCAGCACGGAATGACGGTGGCTAGTTCCTGTGCCTTCTGAATGCCTCTTCCACACTCACGCCGCTCCCGACATCCGCAACCACCTTCTCGTCCGCCTCGACCAGCTTAGGCAGCAACTCGAGTAGTTCCTCCACCTTGCCCTGAGGCACCGCGACCACGCCATTCTCAAATGGGTCTATCATTATGATGTCGCCTGCTTCAACCACCGTCTCGCCAATCCTTACCGGCACATTGTGTGCATGAAACTTGGTCTCAGCCCCTGCGCCGATGACAGACGTCGCTTTGGACCAGATGGGAAGCTGCGTCTGATTGAGAGCAGTAATGTCTCGCACCCGACCGTCGACTACAATTCCCTCTGCACCTAGATGCTGCATGCGCGCTGCCATAATACCCCCGACAACTGCGCACGACTGTCCCGCGGGTTGGCTGATTACTACAATGGTGCCGCTCTCGGTATAGTCTGCATACGGCCTGGAGTCTGAGAGGTTGGAAGCTGGCATAGTGTCTGGCATCTTGGGTGGTGTTGGGAAGGATTTGGTCGCTTTAGGGATCATGAGGAAGGTTGATGCAGGCGCGAGGACCTTTCTGGCCTCAGGCTTTGGGATGCTGGATGTGTGAAGCAGCGGTCCTGACGAAATAGTCAACGGTAAATTCAACATGTGGGTTGAAAAGGTAAGTCGTACTGATATCAGCGAGGAAGCCCGCACCTGGGACATGCAGCTTCAGTAGACCATCAGCGAGCTATGCACGTTTAGCCATGATTTTGGGTACAGTCAGGTAAGGTGAGCGTACGTCACATGCTGCGTATTCATATAACTTCTTCCACCTTGGAGCTGTCATGATCGTATACAGTAGTCTAAATTTTGCAATGATGGAGGTGTTTGTAAATTGATCATAATACGCGGTGAGCTATGAGGCTCTTACCCCGCCAGCCGAGGTGCGTCGTACTCTAACAACTGCATCTCCTCCAATCTTGAGCTAGACACAGTTGGATACCTTGTGCACGGTACATCTTGACGCATGAACATTTGACTATTCGTGGTTCTCGAAATCTACCAGCAATGCTTTTGGCACCTACGTCATCAATCTAGTGGTCCTGGGCCCGCCTGGACACACACGCAGTCGCAGCGCACTGCACTGCATATTGACTGAAGACGTGACGGCGCAGCTGGCGCAAGACGATAGCAGGGTAGATTTGGCAAAGTCAACGTCTGCTTATGTCACGCCGATGTCGAGACGTGGACAACGTCAGATGTATCGCCAAGCGGAGATATGCAAGGGTCTCTCGGATTGACGATCCATCTGAGCACTGGCCTATTCTGTCGCTTTCCATACTGTGCTTCAACATTAACGCTCAGTGGCATCTCGCCGCCACGATTTCACAACCGCCCACGCGCGCCTGTTCCTTTTCTTCCATCTGGTGCTTTTCATAGACTTTGCGGCCTCTGCCGCTGTTTAATACTTTGCCCTGGCCTTCCACGCGGCCGGCGCTCTGCAGGTACGTTTTGCCACGAGTCCGACATCGCGTCATTGAACCCCTACTTATAAAGATATAGAACGTCGCTTCTGTCACCTCAGGACTGTGGCCCACCATGTCCACTGTCATGCGATCTCAGTGGCAGGCCCTTGGGCGAAAGCCCGCGGCTGCCGGTATGAGGCAGCTCTCTACTATCACAGCATCTGAATCCATGTCGACAGCTGGCGCGCATGCACGTCGCTCAGCATCGTCGCTGTCTCAGGCTCCCAAACCCACATCTGTCACTTCTGGTACATCCGCAGGTCAGTCGCCGAGAGGAGTCAAGTTGGCCCGTCGTACTGACACTCTGCAGCATCGCGCATCGGAATGTGCAATCCCTTCCTCATGGCCTCGCCCTTCGGTTCGCTCAAAACACGGCAATATACGACCATGGCGCACAACGGCCCGCTCTCGCACATTCGTCAGTTGGCCAAGCCCGGCATGCTCGGATTAAACCTCGTCCAACAGCGCTCGCTCTTCGGTAAACCCTCTTACGACCAACTCGCTCGGCTCGAACAGGCTGCGAACGCCAGCCCCAACAGCGTACCGGCTCAGGCTTCCTTCTACTCTGCACTCGTGCGCGCCGATATGCACCAAGTCATCGTCGACCGGTACAACACTGGACGTTTCGCTACCAGCGCTATAATCAACAAGATCTACAACAATGCTTTGGCAAAGACGGGACAGGAAGGCGGCGCACAGTCGGGTCTCAACGAGCAACAGCGACAGGCTATCAGCCAGGCTGTCGGTGCGAATGCCAGCAACGCTCAGGTCGCAAGGACCACGGGCGGCACTGGCGTCAAGGCCGACCCCGTTTACGTCGTCGTAGAAGAGTCCATGATGAACGTCGTCTTCAAGTGGGTGCGGTGGATGTTCGGTTTCGCCCTGGCTTGCTACGTTTCCCTGATTCTCATCACACTCTTCGTTGAAACCAGCGGCGTCCTCAAGAAGGTCGGCGGCGGTACTACTGCTGAAGTCCGCCCCGAGCAGCAAACCACCCGCTTCAGCGATGTTCATGGATGCGACGAGGCCAAGGAAGAACTCCTCGATGTTGTCGACTTTCTCAAGAACCCCGACAAGTACAACAAGCTCGGTGGAAGACTTCCCAAAGGTGTACTTCTCGTTGGCCCTCCCGGTACTGGTAAAACACTGCTGGCTCGTGCTTGCGCAGGTGAAGCCGGCGTCCCCTTTTTCTACATGTCTGGTTCCGAGTTCGACGAGGTCTACGTCGGTGTCGGAGCAAAGCGTGTCCGCGAACTGTTTACGGCTGCTCGGTCCAAGGCTCCTGCCATTGTCTTCATCGACGAACTCGACGCGATAGGCGGAAAGCGCAAGTCACGCGACGCCAACTACCACCGCCAGACCCTCAACCAGCTTCTGAACGATCTCGATGGTTTCGACCAAAGCACTGGTGTCATCTTCATTGCTGCGACCAACCACCCCGAACTGCTCGACCAAGCTCTACTCCGTCCCGGACGTTTTGATCGCCATGTTCAGGTCGAACTCCCTGACGTTGGTGGCCGACTTGCCATCCTCAAATATCACACCAAGAAGATCCGCCTGTCTCCCGATATCGATCTCTCGTCCATCGCCCGCGGCACCCCAGGCTTTTCTGGTGCCGAGCTAGAGAACCTCGCAAACTCTGCCGCTATTCGCGCCTCCAAGCTTCAATCAAAGTTTGTCTCTCTCAATGACATGGAATGGGCCAAGGACAAGATTACCATGGGCGCTGAGAAGAAGTCGCGCGCTGTTCCCCTCCAAGACAAGATTCATACCGCTTACCACGAAGGCGGTCACGCACTCGTTGGTCTCTTTACTCAGGGTTTCAACACTGTGCACAAGGCTACTATCCTGCCGAGAGGCCATGCTGCAGGTATCACATTCTTCCTCCCACAAGAGGACCACCACCACACACGCAAACAATACATCCGCCAGCTCCAAGTAGCCATGGGCGGCAAGATGGCCGAAGAAATTGTGTTTGGCGCGGACAACGTGGCTGACGGCGCGTCGGGCGATATCCAACAAGCCACCTCCCTGGCCTACAACATGGTCACAGCCTGCGGTTTCTCCGACAAGCTCGGCAATGTAGATTTCAAATCAAACTACGAAATGGTATCGCCAGAAACCAAACGCCTCATTGACGATGAAGTCCGACGGTTGATTGACGAGGCCAAGAGTAGTGCGAGACAGTTGTTGTTGAGTAAGAGGGCGGAGCTGGATAAGCTGGCTGATGCGCTTGTACAGTATGAAACGTTGGATAAAGAGGAGATATTGAAGGTCATCAAAGGCGAGGACTTACCGGGTCGGTTGAAGGCTATGCCTAATGCGCCGATTAAGATCCCGGAGAATCCTCTTCCTACTGCTATTTTACCGCCGCCGAGAGGGAGTGGTGGTGATGGTGGGAGCGGGAATGGACCGCCTGGGCCGCCTATACCTGCGTAAGGAACGCGGGTGGGCTGGGGTGGTAGCATGATTGTGCGGATGCAAAGCACGCATGTGTCATATCTGGGCGAAATGGCGTTGTAAAATCCGCCCTTTTTTCTCCCCTTTCTCCTTCTTATCTTACTAGAGAGGATGATTCGCTTTTTTTACATAGCGGTTTTGAATGTACAATATTAAGCATGAATGACATCTGAAAGCATGAAGAACCTCTGAGATTGAGACTTGTTGCCCTTCACGATGTGTGTGGTGGAGAACGTGCAAGGATAGCATGTGCAAGGACAGCATGTGCGCAAGGGAGAAGGACTGGTTAGATTGATGATACGAGGGGGAAGGACAAGCAATGAGAGGGGATGTAGGGTTGGGTTGTATGCGGTGAAGGTATCTCCTGCTGACCTGTCTTTTTGGACGGCTGAATAGCCAGTCTATTAGACTCCTCGAAGAATGCAGATTATGGATGTGGACGTCCGCGGTGCCGCACAAGATCTTTGAGAAGGCCACATGTCAAGTGAATAAGAGTAAACCATGATCAAGGTAAGAGAGTCGCAGACTGCCCCGACATCAATGTGGTTCAAGGGTCTATCGCGAGCCATGGAATGTGGCCGGAGGGTCCCTTCACCTCTGCCAACGCGCGCATTTCAGCAACTGCAAACACAGTCATTGATTCCACAATCCACCTTCCTCACTCCGACTCCGCGACACCACTTCGTTTGACTGACGCTCTGATACCATACTATCCACACCGGCCCAGCCCAGTACCCTAATCGAACACGACCATGTCCCCGAACGGCCCAGAAGCCATTCCTCATGCCATCGCGAACTTCTTCGTCACCAAACTCACAGAAGCCACCCTACGGGTTCAAGAGAAGAACACCGAGAGGAAACAGAAGACGCTACGCCAGGCTGAAGATGACGCGAACCGCGAGGCTATCGCTATACGCCGGCGACAGATGGGTGATATCGATGATGAGAATAGGAGCCTGATGGGAGATCGGGAGGCCGAGTAGGGGCGGAGGGGTCTCTAGGAGAAGGGTAAATATGATTTTCAATATCGGGGGTTTGCAAAGCATGAAATGGGGGGAGGGGAAGCGAGAAAGCGGCCAGGGGCTGGTAGCGAAGGACATTTGGCCCAGGATGAGCTGATCAGTAACATGGCCCGTCCAAAAATCTTGCATCATATTTTCATTGCGGTATTGAACCAAAGTAGACTAAGCGGTCCTCTTTACCAAATTAAGCTTCACATGTTCCAATACACACCACCTACGAATATCAAACCGGCTTACTCTTCCCTTTAACGGCATCTTTAGTGGCATATGAGGTGCCAGTGAACTCTAGAAGAATGTCGCTGTCGTCTATGAAGTCAAACTCCTTTAAGTTTGTGCCTGACAGGTCCAGTTTCCACGTCGTGAAAGGCCCGGGATTGACCCAGTCCAGAGTCTGAGCCTCATCCTTTGTAAGCTCGACTTCTACATCACCACCAACAACATCCGTGCACTTGAACGTGTCATCCTCCTTGCCATGTGGGTCCTTGACACGATTAACACGGAACTTGTATACTCTCTCGATCGTCTCATGGTAAAATCTGTGGCTTACGCCATAGCGATCTTGGACAATCTCTGGCTTCTCATCTGGAGTTGACTGGACTAGTCTGACGGTGAACAATGCTTCATCGACATCATCGGCGAGGCCAAGATCATTGAAGATGACTTTTGTTCGGTGGATTCGGACGTTACATGTCTTGTTGAACGGATTCGACTCCGAGTTGTTCTTATCCGGGACAGGTATCTGAAAGGTAACTGCAACTATAGGATCAGTTGATGGAATGGGTTTAGGTTCGGCTGGTGCTGTGGGTAGAGTCGTGGGCGCAGACGAATCACCACTGCTCGTTCCATTCGTTGGAGACGCCGGAATGACTGGAACCCCTGCAACAGTCGCATCCTCTCGAATTTGGGCCTGTTTGATGTCTGAGATCAATTCGTTTCGCTTGGTTTCGGGTAGCGTCCACGGCAAACCATGCATCTTGTCTGGTATTCCCCCCCCCAGATCTCGAGTGCCGGTCCGAAATTTGCTTCCACATTCATTCGAAGCGTTCTAAGAGTGTAGGAAATCATTGCTTGTGGTGCATCATACTTCCGATTTGTGGTCTTGGTAACAAGGTCCATAGCGTCCGAGGGGACAAGCAACAGGTCGTCGTAGATCAACCAGCGATACTTGATGGCGAGTTGCATCCGCGCTAGTATCTTCATATAAGCCATTCTTGCCTGCTGGTAGGACGACTGCATCCAAGCAGTCATGCTCTCGATTTCACTATCGTTGTAAGTTAGCTTGTTTGCGGTGATCTGACTTCCCTCTTTTGCATTTTGCTGGAGAGCCAATTGCCTGTCTTTGATCATGCCGACATATAAATTGAATTCGACGATTGCCGTGTTGCGCGCTGTGACAAGTCTGATGAAATCGTCCAGTTTTCTGAGGAGGTCGCTCTGATCGGCGTGTACTTTTGGCGCAAGAATCATCCTGGCGCGTTGGAGAAGGCACACATAGAGCTTACAGCTGAGGTGAACGAGATGCACAATAATATTTGGAATCATATGCAGGCATCCATAGAACTTTCCCAAGACACGAACAACCGGATTGATTGGAAAGACGCAGATCAGAAAGTAAAGGATGCTATCAAGGAGGCTATTCTAGGAAGGACTCATTTGTGAGATATCGAAGATAGCTCTATTACGTCCATACTTACTTTCCCTATGGATCAGTAGGATGTGATGATGAACCTATTGCCTGTTGGTGTGACGGATAAGAAAGGCGTGTTGGAAGACGGGTGAGGTTCAGTCAACAATTATGACGATATGTTCAGCACATGTACATCCATGCGACATGCGTGGCTTGATGCTACCCACAGAGACTTTGCTTGCTACACTTATAGCTCTCCACCTGAGATCGAGGGAGGTGAAGCGTGTCATTATGGAGTTTTGATCAGTGGCGAAATTGCTACATGGTGGAAAACAGCGAAGCGTAGCAGGTTCGCACGAAGACAATGCTTTGAGATTGATCAAACTTGATCGCTTGCAGGTTCGATCACATATCAGGAGTTATGTGCCACACAACGATGCTGTGCCTGCGATATTAAGGTATAAACGGCTCCCTCTTCATATTGATGGAGCAATCACGTGCGATAAAGAATTTACTGATTATGTTATACATCGAAGTATGTATTATCGCCGGAGGAGACCTATTCAGCACGCACATGCACATCAAGGACATGCACGACACGCTCTAGGGCCTCCGCAGCTATTGCCAAAATGACCAAACACATTCAATCTAGTACCTTCATGACTATCTCCTTCACCACGTTGGCTGAAAAGGATATGGGCGCCAGGAACACATCGCGCTCGACGTTTTCAGTCCACCTCAGCTGTCGCAACACGACGGTGTACATACAGAGTGCGACTGCCATCCTCCAGATGATGAGTAATAAAGTTCTTGGCCCCAGAAGCGACGCGCAGAGCAAAGCGACTGCGTACAATACCAGGATAAATAGCTGGACATGTCGTGCTAGTGGTGCGTTCGTGATCGTGATTGGGCCAATCGTGTTGGACTGGGTGAACATATCGGTCTTCTTGTCGCTAATGCTGAGCCTGGTGTGCTTCTCCGCTCTCAATAGGCTGATCCCGTCAACCTTGATCTTGATGTGTACTGACGGATAGGCCATGGCATTGACGTCGCTACGATGCGCGCGCTCTTGTTCTGCCAACGCTTCCGCGATCTTGCTGGTGACGTACCCGCAAATGCCTTGGCTCAAAGAGCTATCGACGTCGAAGACGTTGGATGCGAAGGACTTGCAGTGGCTGCTACGTCCATCTCTTGCGGTGTCCACCTCGTGCCCGTTGGCCGTCTCGACTGAAGGTAGAATCTGCCGAGACATGGAAAGGTCGGCCACGAAGTCGTCTAAAATTATCTTTTCAAAGTTCATACCCTTCCTCTTGTGACTGTCGTCTTCGGCTGGGTCGCTGTTCTTGGCAGGATCGCGGTTGCCTGTGAACTGGTTAGTTGAGCCAAGGGTATGAGGAGCGCGTTAGCTTACGAGATTGTTCCACAAAGCTGTTGAAACCGTCCATACCACCTTCTGTGTATGAGCTTTTGTCCTTGTCTGACTGAAATTTAGCATGTCTGGCTTGATGCTTTTGGGGAAGGTACTCACTATACATAGGCTCTGCGATCTTGTTGGAGGATTCTAGTGGCACGCTGCTCCGCTTGTCTGCACCACCCACGTCTGTTGGAACAATACCCTCACTCATGGCCAGTTGGGTCGCGGTGATATCTTCGTTTGCGTTCAGGGCCGGACGCTGAGAAAGAACGCGCCTCATCGATTGGGCAAACGAACCTTTCTTCTTGACTCTATTCTCCGCCTTCAACTCCGGCAGTGTAGGTTCAACATATGACGGCGTCGCATCGATAATGTTCAGGTCGTCTGAAGCATTTCGCATCGCAGATTCGTTGTTCACTGACCGTTTTGGTGCCTCAGCTACTATTGGTTGAAATTCCATATCGCAACCCTCTTCATCTTTCAGAATTCGCGATAGGCTGTCCGAGGAACGCTCATTGGGCAGCAAACCGACCTGTTGAAAGCCTGGGGGCATAGTCAGCGATGGCATCGGGCTTGATTCGGCAGGCGGGGGCGACTTGTTTATGGTAACAGGGCTCAAAGATGCACTCGAGCTGGGTCGATGCTTGAAGATCTCTCGGAAGCGGCTGGATTTGCGCTCGGCTCTTGGTGTTACGTTGGCGGGAGCACTCAGGCGAGCCATACTGTTGTCTTCCGCAGCGGCGAGCTCGATTTCGTGTGTCTTGAACGATGACCTTAGTGGGGCGGGTGAGGTGGGATAGTTGTGTTTGCGAGGTGGTATGTTCGTTGTCGCGATCGATTAAGCGAGAGTCACAGTGAAGGTGAGCCCGAGAAAGTTCAAACGCGCTAACGTCAACGGGAATGTTCCTGAAGAGGGAATGATGTAGCGCACGATCGTTTATAACGATTGGTAAGACATTCGGAGTTGTGAATACAATTTTGCCATTGTGCTTGCTTAAATAGAGCCATTGAATCGATTGATTGCACAATGACGCAAATGACGAACCGAATGAAGTCAGAAGACTGGAAATAATGATAAATCATGTATGAACATTCACAGGGCCTGTGTCATATCGTTCTGGACTAAGTGTCCTGAAAATTTACCTTGTCAACCTTGCATTGGATCAAGGATTGCTGTGACTATGTTGTCGGCTACTGGTGGAGGGTTATTGGACCCATCAAGCTTAGAAAATCAAGGTGAGAAGAGACATAGTCCGCGAACTCAGTGCGAGTGGCAGTTGTGGTAGTAAACATGTGAGCGTGCGCTCCGGACTGCTTCCCATGTTGTTCCGTGCGATCGCGCTGCATATCGGGTAGCGTTCGAGGGCTGGAACAAGTTGCTTGATATCAGCTGCCCCAGAAGAAAAAAGGTTGCAAGACCTTGCCTGGAGATCCGTGTATAGTCTAGGGGTCGTGTATGAAGCTGGTGCGTCTCGACGGCCACACGGGGTAGTCTGGTGGATGACGCAGGACGATGGCCCGTGCACTCCTGACGCCCTTGCGCTGCTGCCCTTGTACATCCACGAACCCCATCACCATATCGCGATAGCAAGAGCGGTCTTCCGGGCGGCATATCGCGCAAAACGATCCCTCAAAGTACTCCACTTGCATGCTTCTTGTGAGGCATTACGACACCCGAGGCCTGGAGCGTCAACACACAATGTCGCATCGATCGTTGTTCCATCTTTGGTGTTCCGCATCTCGCGCAGATGAACATATCGCCATCTTCTCGAAGTTGATATGTTCTGCATGAGAGCCCACAGTATGCACAATCCTACCGCTTAACATTGATAGCTGCTTGGCGCCAGCACGGTACTCATTCATAAAAACCCAATTCAATTCGTTCAGCAGCGCTTCGATTTGGAACAACCTAATGCCCTAGTCAAGTCCAGAATGAAGCCATCGCTGCTACTCGTCTTCGCCGGTCTCAGCTCAGTGGCTTTGTCTAATGTCGGCACACCGAGTGTAGAGAGCCAAGCCCACGCGAAAGGCAGCACATCGGGCGCCGCCCAAGTCAACATGGGCTTCGACGACCCGCACATCGCACAGGATCCGCTGAGGATGGGTACCATGCCCTCGAGTGACGGCGTTGACTCACCTCGCCACCGACAAGAGAAGGCGCACCTACTCAAGAGGATGGATAAGAAGAATGGTAAATGGGGAACGAGCCATCCGCGATACCGACTTCTCGAAGCATTGTGGGCCTACACCAGGTATCGCGAACGTCACATGGCTGAGTTGGACCGATGGCGAAGCTTGTACAAAAGCACTGGAAAGAAGCAGAAAAAGGTCGGCTTACCATGGACGTCGTTTTCGCAATCGCTGATGATGCCATAGGTCTTGGAGCAGGCGGTTGGCTACACGAAGAAGCTGGACGAAATAGTAGAACTGATATACATCAACGCGGCTGTCTCGCGGAGCATCGCTCGTCATGCAATGGATTTCTATGGTATCGACCAGGCGGAGTTAGACGAGCACATGAAGCAGGCCGAGAAGGACCAGCGTCAAGCAGACAAGTTTGCGACGGCGCAAACATTGAAGCATTTCGTACGAGATTGGGCCGACGAAGGTATCAAGGAGAGAAGCGAGGCATTTCCATGCATCTTGAGCACGTTGCGCGCCATCAAAGCAGAGTCTCCAGATGGTGCATCTCTCAAAGTACTGCTGCCAGGCTCTGGAGTTGGCCGGCTAGGCCATGATGCTGCGAATCTTGGAGGTAAATCTGCTTCAAACTGTGTACAGCACAGTTGCTGACCTTGTAACAGGGTTTGAGGTGACGATCAACGAGTGGTCGATGTTTATGAACGTTGCTTATCGCTACATGGAAGCGCAAAGGCATGCGAATGCTGTCACCATACACCCATTCATCGAAGCGATGTCGCACCATGCCACGAAAGCCGATATGACCCGAAGTGTCACAGTGCCCAATATGCCCCCTAATCCCGCCGTATTACTCGTCGAGGGCGATTTCAACACCGCCTTCAATGATCAATCAGGCCACTACGACGTCATCGTCACTCACTTCTTCATTGACACGGCCCGCAATCTCATGGCCTACTTCGACACCATTCACCGACTGCTGAAGCCTGGCGGTAGATGGATCAACTTTGGTCCACTTCTCTATGGTACCGGGCCTTTTGTGCAGCTCAGTCTTGAGGAGATTGTCAATGTCGTTGAAGAGATGAACTTCGAGTTTGAGGATATAGGTAATGAGTGCGGCGAACTGACTTTTGTGGACAAGAAGGTTCGGAGCAAAGAGGCGGAGTACGGCTTCAACAGGAAGGCGCTGACTAGGTATGCGTACCTCGCACAAGTATGGATGGTGAGAAAGACTTGAGATCGCTTCAGCCATGATAATCCATAGTACGATGCGCGAAGTAGCATACAGCGCCATGAATCGCAGCCGAGCTGACAACAGTACGCGTCTCCCAATCCGGACGGGTATGTGAGTCAAATACTAAGCGCGTACGTACCAACAGAACGTTACACATGAGATACTGCGTTTCAGGTGCTAGGATTGTTGCTCCGTTGAGAACAAAAGACTTGTACCATGATGTTGGACCCTATTCGAGTAGCCGGAGAACAACACAGATGACCCAGATGTAATAGTCTGAAGTGTAATGTGAAGCTTGTGCGATACCACAGACGTCTATATTCATGACCTGCATTTTTTCAGCTCACCAGACTTTGCTAAGCTAGAATGCAGTACTTTCCAAGGCACAGCCGAGGTCATGGCAAGGCCGTTACTTTAGATCTACGTATTGGTATGGCCCCACTGACATTTTATGAAGACACAGTTGACTAAGCACAACATGCCTCAACTGTCCCCGCTAGTAGAACACTTATTCTATCAAAATGCTACGTGGTTGCCAGTTCAGGTTTTTCCTCGCGCTCGGTACCGGCCTGAGTCACCTTTTACCCACCGCTATATCAACTTCACCCAGAGCGAGGGCGCCATTGTCTACAAGGTCATACCCGCGCTTCACCTTTCTGGTACTAAGGTGGTCTATTCTAGCGCCATCGAGCACTTCGGTGTCGCCGACTTTGCTAATCGTGATGATAATACCTACGTAGGATTTCTATGAGTGTGGATAGACTCGACATTGACAACCTCGATATCACCCTTACGCACCAAAGCGCCAGCAACGCGGTCACGTTCGAGATCTGATTGCCACTTGAGGGCTGGAACGGACTCTTCCAGGTCGTTGTCGGCGGAGGCCGAGCTTCAGGCTTTCACGACACACCCTGTTTCGGTAATGCCGTCAAAGATGGCTAATCCCCTTATGAAGTCCGCTAGGTCTGTCTTTGTGCCCGTGGTTTACGTTTCTAGCCGCGATGTCGGTCTAGGCTGCGGCGGCACCCCTGGACTAACCCCGGATTACCACGACCCACTCTCGACGCTAGCCTCATGTACATGATCCGCGATCACAGACGCTTTCTTGAACAGTACATCAAGCCACAGATCTGGAGAGTATCGAAAGGCTGCAAATCCGAAGCTGAAGTCTCGCAAGATCTTTCGATGGACGCATTGCTTCCTGGTTAGGCAGTTTTCCTATGCCTAGGCCGTAACAGGTGACGGCAAGCATGTATAAAGCTGGGAAACCCGCTGTGTTTTCGATCAACAAGACAAGCTTCGCATCTTCTCGAAAACACACTTCAGGATGGCACCTGCCCTCCGCGCATTTGCGCTTGCACTGCGAGCCTCGTCGATCTGCCCGTCGTCCCCTACCTGCCCCCAGGACGACCAATGCTCCCTCACCTCGAACGGGGCCACTCTTCAAGTCAGCTGTGCGACTGACTACTATGGCGGCGATTTGCAATTGGCACAAGTAAGCATGATCAACTCTGCAGTGAGGTGTATCGATTTGACCGCTAATCTTTTCATAGACATCTACGTTAGCAGGTTGCATCCGAGCATGCCCCATGACTACGGGATGCAATGCTGCAAGCTACGTGGGTGGTAACTGCTATCTCAAAAGCACGCTCAATGCGGCTCAGCCCAAGTATAGAATCCCCTGCTTCGTTATCAACTTTCCATTGACTCAGCCATTAGTTCCAACGTGATTGGAGTAGCTGTGATCTCTAGAGATACCTCACCAATGCCTGTTCCAGCGCCGGATATCCCCAAACAGTGCCCTGCCAGTTTCACCTGCCCGGAGAACGATGGCTGCTCGTACACTGATGGTTCACGTACTCTGACACTTACTTGTGGAGTGGACTTCTATGGAGGTGATTTCACCAATCAGTACGCAGCAAGCCTCGAGGGTTGTACACAAGCTTGCGCTGGAGACGCACAGTGCGTGGCCGCTTCGTTTGTTGGTGGCAAAGGTGACGGTCGTTGCTATCTCAAGAACACAAAGAACGGTGGCTCTGTGAATGACGGTGTTGATGGTGAGTCACTGACCTAATCTGCGTAACGTTTGCTGATAATCAAAAGCTGTCTACGTTGTTTCCAACACCGTACAACCAAGCATTTCAGCATCAAGCTCAACCCCGTCGCCTTCCTCGACTGTTACATCGACGGGTACTATCTCTTCCACTAGCACAGACGTCATCATCAGCTCTACCTCAACCTCGACTTCGACCTCTACCCCTACCCCTACACCCACTCCCACACCTACGCCCACTCCTACTCCTACCCCGACTCCTACCCCAACGCCTGAACCACAACCTACCTGCGGCGTCAGTGGTGGGCCAAGACCGGGGGTGCTCTACACCAACATTGCTGGGCAGACCCAGGCCACTTGCAAGATCCGGTGCCAGAACTACAATCTTTCAGGCCGTACCTGTCGTGTCTATTCTTTCATCCCCGCAGCCAGTCTTTGTATACTAGCAATAGGAGTCACTGCACCAACGTTCGACCAGGCTTTTACTCCTAGTAGAAATGGGTTTTACATCTGGTACGCCGTGGAATGCCCAGCATGAGGAGAGAATCTCCATGTAATCAGCGAGCGACGGTGTATACCGATAGTGTAAGCTAGAAACGTTTTCGGACATCAAGTTTAGATAATACTCAATATATCATTCATGCCAACACTCCTCCACTCCTCTGATGCGAACTCTATAATCTCCAAGGAGAGATTCTTCCCGTCCCTGTCTAACTTCCGCAGCCACCAGACTGATCCCCGAGTGCTCCCCATTCAACTATGGTTTGATGTTCTTCCTCGAAGTCTTTCCTCCCTACAGCCTTTTACTCTTCAAATACACCATCAGCTTCTCCTGACACCCAACAGCGAAACTCGACCTCCCTAAGGTCGCATCCGTCAATATCACTACCGGCAGCCTTGCGTCATCGCCCTGGCCCTTATCACTTCTCGAACATCACCTTTGATACCAGAACGATTACCGTACCTCTCTCCCTCTCCCATTGTTTCTCTCTCTCTCTCGATTTTTGACATGTGTACATGCATCTATGACCATACCAGCAAAATGTCATCTTGAAGAATATGTTCAAGTTTTGTCGCACCATATCGACGAATTAGTACAATGCGCTTGGCTTGGGATGAGAACTATATCATCAGCGATTCAAGCAGAACGACACTAGAAGACCTGCTTCTGACAAGGTATGCGTACCTTGCGCAAGGATGATGGTGTTGGGGTATAAGAGTGATGCATTGATTCTATGGAGGATTCTGACTATATAGGCAGTACGCTAGTGGGTACAGAAGGTACCAATAACAACATGAGATGGTTCTTTCCATCGGATGGTACGGGATGCTTGAGATGGCGCGCTGATTAATCATGGCACAACGCGCAAGGTGCCTCAGATTCACATAGCGATGCTCATATGCAAGGTTAGGAAGGCAGAATGGAGGCAGAGTCGACCTTGGCTCTTATTGTACAGCCGTGCGTGGCATGCCTGCGGACGCCATCGAATGCCGTGCAAGTCCAGTTGTTCACGTTCCCCTGTCATCCGTGATTGGCTGCTTTCGCACCCCACTCGAATTACTCAGCCTACACCATCTGAACCACGATGACACACGACTGCAAAGTTGTTGGTTATAAAGCTCCATTAAAAGGCGAAACAGGTGCTGCTACCAAAAGCTGATTTTCCAACATCCATCACGCAACCGGAAGCCCTCCACCAATTATCCCGCTTGAGCTTGACGCGAACACATAGCTGGACATGCAGCGCGACAATCATCTACAGTTGGGCCAGATCTATGGCGATAAAAACACTTTGTTGAAGAACATCGATAAAATTGCACGATTGGCTCTTGTCAAGGCGACTGACGATGAGCCCCTGCAGCTGCGCTTTCTCAGACCAATTCAACCTAATGGCCAGTTAAAGCATGATGAGTACGTCGATCTCGAACTCACGTCGGCTAAAGAACACACGCAAGGCTTGATCTACACAACTGTTTCATACTGTTGGAACCATACGCAAATCGAACGCGAAGAGATGCAAGTACCGGAATACAGGATCTGGGATGCCTCCAGCCCGCGTCAAGCTCCAAGACAGATTAGTTGTCCTAAACTTGTCCTGCACCGCGCTTTGCGTTTTGCACGAGGGCAAGGATGTCAGTATCTGTGGATCGACCAGGAGTGCATTGATCAGGACGATCCAGCGGACATCGAACGACGTCTGCAGACCATGCATCGCATCTACCGAGAGAGCCGCTGGACGGTTGTGACGCTTTCTTGTACCATTACAGCTGATGAATCCTGGACAGCTCTGGTATTGCGTCCACGAACGCTGATAGATCCGGACAGTGATACGTATGGTAGTGCTGCAAAGGAGTTCGAGCATTCACTCAGTCATATCTCAACAGACCGTTGGTTCACCCGAACGTGGACTTTACAGGAGAAACAATGCGCATCGATACTCAAGTTCCTTATCCCGATCAACAAAGAAGTACACGAGCTAGAAGATGGTCAATCCTTAGTAGTAGGAAACGATCTTTGCATAGATGCGGAGCGCCTGTCTTGGGCCGCGAGAGTCTGCAGGACCGGCAACATCAAGGAGCGGCTCAATCTTATCGACATGCCAGGCTTCAAGGGCCATGGACAGCCTTCTGGCCAAGAAATTTCTTCTATCGCGCTTTTCGTACATGCAATGAATTCGTGCGATAACCTCGTCATCGCCGATCGCATATCAATCTTCGCAAATGCCTGTAACTTTAGGTACCGCTTGCTGTCAAATCGATTGGACCGATCAGATATCAGCTATGTTATGTGCCTTATAGTCCTGGTATTAGCCAACCTGATTGGCGGTATCAAGGAAGTCAAAGAGAAAATTGCGACTACTTGGGATGAGATTTCATCTTATAACATGCTAGCCAACCCAGCTCTGATCTTGACGATCTTGTTCGGAATGAAGCGACTTTCACACAGGAAGCAATCAGATACGGAATTGTGGCAGTTTCTCAGAGCGGAGTTAAGATCAGCTGAGAATCAGAAATACTCAAGCGGCGAGATAGGATCAGCATACTCTGACATCGTATTGGGGAGTCATAGTCTAGAGAATGATGCCCAGGAATGGCTTCCAGACGAGCATCTAGAGGAGCATTTTGGCCTCAAAGCGCAACAAGGTAGGCAGCCTCATGATTTACCGCGGGGTCGACGACAGCATGCGTTACATCGTCTGTACAGACGGCTCGCGCAACTTTTTCGAAGATCACCTTAAATAAGAGCATGCGCTGCAACACAAGCGTGACCGCCATACATTTTTCTCATATCTTTGTTGAAACAGTTCTGGACGTGGATCATTACGTCCCGACCACAGAAAGATGCTACTTTTAAATGACGATGTCGCTATCTTGTCAACTTACGCTCAAAGCTCATGATCAGGAGCCACGACTCAAAAGAAGCACAACTCACTCCCTCTAAGACAAGCAGCATGGAACAATAAATCATGTACTTGCAACAAACTCAAGTGGTGATAGTGTGAAAGTTTTGATGTTCCTCGGGAGTTCCGATTGGAATCGGAACGCTGACACCGGGGTAAAGAAGTCCGCGCGCTTGCAGGTCACGTTCCATCCTCGCGAAAATTGAGACCGGTTCGATTGCGCTACCACTTTACCAGCCCAAATGCGTTCGGTCCTTCTCCACATCGCTCTACGTCACGTAACCATTGCGGAGTAACACGATCGCGGAGCACTGAGGACCGGACGCGATGAAAGTCCCGGCTCACGATGACAATCGGGGCAACTTCGGCAGCTTGAACCAACCCTGGAACCTCATTGGCAGTCGCACACGTAAGGCACCATGAACGTCCCGCCATTGCACCGGCATGGAAGAGCCGGTAACGGAGATTCGCTTTTAGTGCACTCCGTGAGGTACAATAAGTTGCAGCGGCCAGCTGTGATTTTCGTCTCGCGCGATCGCATCTTTAGGTCTTGCGACAATGCGCTCCATAATGCCTGGTGGGCGACACCCTGGCCTATCACGACTCCTCCTTCTGGGTTCAATCGTTGGATCATCATCGCTTGTTTCGGCAACTTCACAGGATGGAGTATTTCAGAAGTCGTTGTGGTCGTACGTGGACCCTTTGATCGGTACCGTCGGCTCGCGCCCTGGTTCCGCGATTGCAGGCGGCAACTCATTCCCTGGTGCGAGTCTACCGTGGGCGATGGCGAAGCCTGGAATCGACACGAGCTATATCGGACTTCCAAATGGCAGCGCAGTGGACGCAAATGCTGGATACACTCCCCTAGGCAACGTGACAGCCGTGAGCATGACCCACGTCAGCGGATCTGGCGGAGCGCCAACATGTAGGCTTCCTCTTTCCCTGGTCAGCTCATAGTATTGACAAGAGATAGATGGATTGATATCGCAGATGCCACTCTTCGGCAGTCTAGCCTCTGTGAATCTCGCCGACAATATGACTTATGCCCAGAATCGCAGTCTTGACTTAGAATCTGCGACAGTGGGCCTATTTACTACGACTCTGCAGAATGGCATCAAGATTGAGATAACTTCCGGTAATCACACTGGGTACATGCGATACACTTTCCCAGAGTCGGGAACAACTTCAAATGTTTCATCTACCTTGTCAATGGCGGGAGCCGACGCAGCTCATGAACAGGACACGCACATACTGGTAGATCTTACGCATGTTCTTCCAGCCTATTCCTCTATGGCCTATTCGCAAAAGTTTCTGCGCGGAGAGTTGCATATTCCATCGTCTCCCAATGCGTTGCCGTCATATCATGGATATGCAACCTACACAGGCGGATGGCCACAGCCTGATTCTCACATGATCCACTTTTGCGGAAACTTCAGTGTACCCGCAAACTCTGTATTAACCCCAACATCAGAATATATCCAGGGTGAGCACTCAGGCATCGCTTCTGGTGCTGGCACATTCAGTTGGCAATATAACCCTTTCTCGCCGCCGACAACTCGACCGATCCTCAGGGGATATCCTGATGTGCGATCCTACGCTGGAAGCGGGATGGGCCTCGGTGCTCTGTTTAGCTGGTCGCCGACAGAGGCGCAAGTGAACGGGACCCTTACGCTTGAGTCCAAAGTTGGCATCTCTTATATCAGTGCTGCCCAAGCATGCTCGCACATTGAAAACGAGCTTCCTGGTACGAGTTCTTTTGAGGACATCATAGACCAAGCAAGAGAGGAATGGGAAATGAAAGTCTTGAGCAAAATACAGATCGGAGACGACGGGGATGCCACAAGCAACAACGCGACATTGAAACATATGTTATATTCAGCCCTATATCAGACAGGTCTGATGCCGACGGACAAGACCGGTGAGAATCCTGTGTGGGATTCAGATGATACAAAGCCATATTATGACGATCACTATGTAAGCTGACCTCTTACCAACAACGTTCTTGAGACTAATTGCTACAGACTCTGTGGGACACATACCGGACCTTGTTACCTCTGTACCATCTGATCTTTACAAAGCCATACTCCCGCGTTCTGTCTGGACTGATCTCAATCTTCACTGAAGAAGGCTATTTACCGGCAGGACGGGCAGCCAATTGGAACGGCCGAGTCCAAGGTGGCACGCACGCAGATATCGTACTAGCTGACGCTTTCGTAAAAAGCGTTCGTGCACTATCCGGTGAGACAGGGCGTGGCGAGCTTGACAGCGCAATCGATTGGCAGGAGGCCTACAGGGCAGTGATGAAAGACGCAAATATGATACCCGAGCGCAACCTTGATCCGGTAGCATTTGATGGGGCTACCAAGGAGGGAAGAGGGGCGTTAGACGACTATCTGTCCCTTCAGTTTATCACGCGCAATCACACTCGCAGCATTTCTCGCGGCGTCGAGTATCCGCAGAACGACTTTGCGATCTACAGTATGGCGCGAGGGCTTAATAAATCTCGAGATGAGGTCGATCAAATGCGTTCCCGGGCGAACTGGTGGCAGAATCAATGGAATCCCACGGCTAATACAACTCTTGACGGTATCGGCACGTTCACTGGGTTTCCAGGTGCCAGAAATGCCGATGGTACGTGGAATGTCACAGCTTATGACCCACTCAGTTGTGGCACTTGCGGTTGGGATGCCGATATATACGAGGCCAAGGTCTGGGAAACTGCATTTAGTGTCGCTCCGCACGACATGGCTAAAGTCATTAACCTGATGGGTGGCGATGAGACTTTCGTCCGTCGACTAGACGCTAGTTTCGTCCCTGGTTTCGGCACGTCGGTTGGTGCCAATAACGACGCTGGCTCCGCCCTTTTCAATCCCGGCAATGAACCATCTTTCGCGACACCGTTCCTCTACAACTACGTACCTGGAATGCATTGGAAGACAGTCAATCAAACACGCGCCACGGTGGACGCTTTCTACAGCGATGCGCGCAATGGGTACCCGGGAAATATTGACGGCGGCGCGCTACCCAGCTGGCTGATCTTCAATCTTGTGGGCATGTACCCCATGCCCGGTCAGGCGCTCTACCTTCTCTCCGCTCCTCGGTTCTCGTCACTCAACGTTTCGCTCTTCAGCGGAACGGCGGTCGAGACTTCACTGACTGTTTTGGCACGGAATCTGTCCAGCACGAGCTATTACCCGCAGAAAGTCACTTGGAACGGAGTAGAGCTCGACCGAGCTTGGCTCAAGCATGGAGAGATCGCGCAGGGAGGTGAGTTGGTGTTCTACATGGGCGAAGAGCCTGCGAGATGGGATGTTGGTGAGCGGCCGTGGTCTTTGTCAGCATGGCCGTAAGTATCGTTAATGAAGGTGAATTACAAGCACAGGAATGTATTTCGTGGTTTTATGCGGTATACTGTTTTCAGAATGTGCTTCTCTATATAGATCTGTCGAGAGCTAATCGAGCTAAAGCTGAGTAATCGAAATGCTAGTACACCGCTTTGCGCCAAAGCCGCAAAGGGCAGTCTTGCTGAGCGGTAACTTGGCAACGAGAAGCTATGAGAATATACGCCTCTTGTGTCTATTGTATTACTAGATATTTGTACAAAGCAAGTATATTGCTAAAGCGGGAACGTTCTACGGACTAGCGTACGTGTTGTTCTGTTATCTTCTACTTCTTAGTAAAGTACTCTAGATTCTTGTAATCTGTAGTAACTTCCAAATTCTCGTACGCCTCGCAGTGTAGAATCTTATTCTTTTAGACAGGAAATGATAATTAGGTGTTTTGTATTGTTACAAATTTATACATCAAGAGTCTAGATCGATGAGACGTCTCCGGCGTTGTGCGCATTCAGCGATATTCACTAGACTTTCCAATTCGCCACTCGTCTCGCACATGCCGCGAAAAGCACCTTGGGGGTCACGAAGTAGCACCCAAGGAGGACCCTGTTCGATCACTGTACCACGATCCAGAACGATGATGCGATCGTGATCGGCAACAGTGGCGAGGCGGTGCGCCACTGTCACAATGGTGGCTTCAAGGCTACCAAGGACAGCTTGTACCTGAGCATCGGTGCTGTGATCAATAGAAGCCGTGGCCTCGTCGACAATGAGGATACGGCTGCGTCGTAGGAGGGCGCGCGCCAGACACAAGAGTTGGCGTTGGCCCTGCGAAAGGTTCGCCCCAGCATCATCGATAGGAAATGCTGCGTGTATTGCGCCTTCGGCCGCGCCCGACAGTTGGACGCGGTCAAGGATTTCGTTCACTTCTGCATCCGAATATTCATGTAGAAGATCTATGTTAGATCGGACAGTACCAGCGAATAGGCTGGGGTCCTGAGGTACCATGGTAACGGAGCGACGGAGACGTTCTAGCGAGACTTGACTGATATCGACACCGTCGATTAGAATCGCACCCACCTCGGCTTCTAAGGCCCGGAACAACGCGAGGCCCAAGGTGCTCTTGCCGGCCCCTGTACGGCCGACAACACCTACGCGCTCTCCTTGGTTAGCACGGAAACTGACCTCGCGAAGACATAGGTCTAGGTCTGATCGGTAACGCGCTGAGAAACGCCTGAACTCAATTGTACCCTTTGAGGGCCAGGTAGCCTTGGGATGACAGCGCGCAATGTCTGGGTCAGCTTCCAGCTCCGTGTTCAATGTGTCACGGATACGGTGAACCGAGTTCATATTCTGCTCAAATACGGCGTACATGCGGACGAGCCAGATGAGGTTGTTAGAGAAACTCATAGCGTATGTTAGTGAAACAGCCGCCAAGCCGGGGTTGATGTCGTGGCTCAGCAGGACGAAGACACTGGTTAAGACGAACAAGAGATTCCCAAGGAACTCGGTGCGGAGAGCCAGCCATCTGTTGGCGGCCCAGAGGTGGAAGAAGGGTCGTGATTGTGTGTCTATGCGTTCTGCGTTGTTCTCGATGAACAGTTGCTCATTATTGTAGGCGCGGATTGTGATAAGGCCTGCGAGTACCTCGCCGAATTGCTGGAATAATGGACTCCGTCCTTTGGCTTCATGTTCCTTTAACTCCCGCGATGAGCGCAGGTAAAAGCTAGCTACGCCTGAATAGATGGCAACAATGATGAATCCTGCGATAAGGAGCTGCGGCGTAACCCATGCCATGATGACAATTGAGATTATCGTGTCGAGGATGAGGCTAACCATATAGATAATAACTGGCGTCATTTCCTGATCGATAATCTCAACGTCCTTGCTGAATCGATTCATCAGCTGACCGAGGGGAGTTGTATCAAAGAAGCGGAATGTGGACCTCGTGGCGACATCGAGCAGCCTGGTGTGCAGTTTCCGTGACGCTGTTAGCGAACCAAAGGCCGCCCAAGTTTCTCGCATCATCACCAACATGATGCCCGAGAAGCTGATCATGGCAAGGACGAAAACATGATATAAAGCACTGGCCGAGGAGCCAGAGGAATCCGCCTGCGGGCCTTGGCTTGCTATCATCAGGTTGTATGGGACGTTGGGCGAAGAGGGGCCAAGCCTCGTCTGCGAAGTAGGATGTAGCATGGCATATGTGTGGAGCGTCGATTGTACACCTGCATCACTTGTGTTGCCACCCACAATGGGCTCGTTAGACCATCCTCCAATCCAGAGGGTCGACGCGACCCCAGCTGCCTGTTCTGCCGCGAACACGAGAATCAGGACTAACCAGAATGGCCAAGCTCCCATGGCAGCCAAGTAGAGCTTACTAGTCGACCAATCCATGGCGCCTACATCCTCGGTATCTGCATGTTCTTGGAAATCGAGCATCTTGTTCACAGGTTGTGAGGAAACATGGTGGCTTTCGTGTGCTGACGGCAGTTGGGGTTGCCAGACCTCCGGCGCTGTTTCTAGTACATCGGGCATCTGCTCCTTCTGCGCTATCTCAGATTCCAAGACTTCATGAACGTCTGGTGGGAAAACACCAGCATTCAAGATATGACTCGGAGGTCCATGAGCTACGACACGACCTTTATCCAGAGCAACCACGAAATCAGCTACCGGGACGCACAGCGTCGTGTTGTGTGTAACAAGGACGCACGTACGACCTTGGCGAGGAAGCTCTCTAATGCAGTTCTCGAAAACGGATTGAGCAGTGTGTGGATCAAGAGCGCTAAGGCAGTCGTCCAGGAGCACGGTCTGTGAGTGCGAATAGATCGCTCTGGCAAGGGAGATTCGCTGCTTTTGTCCACCGGAGAGCGTGATACCGCTTTCTCCCGTCATCGTGGCATCGCCAGCGCTCATACAATGCAGGTCGTGCTCGAGAGCGCAAATGTCGATAATATGGTGGTATCGTTTTGCATTGTAAGGGGTCGAGAATAAGATGTTTTCCCGTATAGTTCCATGAAATATCCAAGGAGTCTGTGCGACATAGGCGCGACTTCGGGTGTCAGAAAACATAAGATCGCCCTCCACTAGCGGCATCTCCCCCAACATAGCTAGGAGTAGCGAACTTTTGCCTGAACCTGTCGGACCTACGATGACGTTGAGCTTTGCTGGATAGAAGCGGAAATCCATGTCGCGCAGTTCGAATGATGAGGGAGCGCCCAAAGTTGCACTACCAGGCTTAGCCCAACTGAAATGGGCACGCTGAAATCCTAGCACGGAACTGCTTGTAGTGTCTTTCATGGTAGTCCTGGCAGGCGGCAGCAGGTCCTCAGCATCTCCTATGAATTCTTCGATTCGTCTCAGAGACACGCTCGCTTCATTGACCTGGGCCAACACGTGTCCAACGTTACCCAAAGGAACACGCAGAAGTGTGAACATGGATATGGACGCAAACGCCAGGGAAGGGTGTAAAGGTTTTCCCCCCAATGTCGTGTAGCAGAATAGAGATAACAGTGTTACCAGAGCAGGCACAGCATACCAGGCGGTGTTGGCGGCGGCCCACAAGACAATGCGGCTCTGCAAATTCTTCATCTCCATGCTTCGTGCTCCATTCACCACTGTGCTAAAATGATTTTCCCAGACGAAGAATTTGACAGTGCGAATGTTCCGGAAAAGGTCGTTGGCTGCACGAATTCGGCGATCTGTCGACGTCATCATTTTCTCTTGATTCCGTACCAGGTTTTTACTAAGCGTGATATTGAATGGAACCATGAAAAGCATCATGGCGAGACCGGAAAAGGCGCTCCATCCAAGGATATGGTATAGCATTGCGATAGTGATGATGATCTGCATCGGTGCTTGCACAGTAAGGAGATGCAGATTCGCCAAGGCATCGCCGACTTTGTAGCTGTCGATGGACATTAAGTTAACAACATTTCCAGCACCTGATTCATCAGCATTGAAGTCGTCTTGGGTTTCATCTAGATCGGTCAGGCAGGCATCGGGCGCATTGATTGGCAAGGCAATGGCATCCTGTTCCGCCGATAGCATCATCCGCACCCATTTCTTCAACCTCTCCAACGTAGATTGAGTGCTTTTCGTATTCGAGACTGTAGGTGCCTTGGTGTAAACTGACCTTTGATGCAAAGTCAATCGGAATACCTCGCCAATGAGCAAAGCGCGTGCCCGGAGACACAGTTTGTGACCCTGCCAAAGGGCCTGTCCGTCTGCGACTGACCTGATGAGATCTATCAGCGGAAAAAGTATGACAAGAAGCCAAATTACATGTTTCGGGTAGCGCCCGGGCTCTTCAAGGGAGCTGAGAATCAGGTTCAGAAGCAAGGCAGGGGCCACAGTAAGGATGCCTGCGACAAACGCCCATGTGCCCTGCAAGACCAATGATTCCTTGAAAAGGGACGCCAACTTCCAAGATAATGCAGCATCCTTTCGAAGTCGTCGATAAGAAGCCAAGATACTCCTGACCTTGTCTTCCTGATCCAAGTAACGCATCATGTCGATGCTGATGCGCTGAGTGTACCCTTCCAGTAACATTGAGTCCATCCAGAAGAACGTAAGACGCGAAAACGCTGAAGCTTGTTTCTCGAGAGATGTCGGTACCGCTGCCTTTTGAGGTCTGGAGAAGAGCACAAGGCCAACCAAGATCGTTTCAAGGCCAAGATTGAGCAGTAGTGTATATGAAACCAGCCTTGGTTCGTGATCTAGCAATGCGGAACGGAGATTTATCGCTCCCGAAAGCCACTGGACGAGATAAATGGTGCTAGAATGTGCTGAAGATTGGTCCTGCAGCCAGCTTGCCTTGCTCACATACAGAGGTAGCATAATGATCAAGAAGGCGTACAGCCAAATTATCACCGCTGCCGTTGATTTGGAGAGACCTGATCCACCAGAAAATGCCTGCAGGAATGAGATAGTATTGACGCTGAGCAGCCCGACAAGGACAAGTAGCTCGACAAGTGTAGCGCCGCTCAGGTTAACGGCGGGGGTCCAGATTGGGAGGGGTTGACGCTCATGGCATTGGCAGCCAGTACATGCCTCAAATTCTGCGCCAGCCTCTTCGGATGACATGCCGGTGATCTCGACCTGCAGTCGTTCTTTGCACTCACCGTGACTAGCGCGGTGAGATTTTGTACAAATGCTAAAAAGCAAGCATGTAGCGGAGCCCAGGGTCATGGAAATTGGAAAAATCAGATTGTTGTAACTATAGACGTCAGTTTACGAGCAGATGAAGTCGGTGCGAGAAGAAGACGCTGAGAACTTACTTTTCGCGGAAGCACATAGTAAAGTCGTCTCTTTGCCAGATCGGCCACGAGCAGAACTTGTGATCCTCCATTGTATCCAAAGCTTCTCATGGATGAGCTGTGACAAGACTGTAGCAGTAGGCGCACCTGGTTTTAGGTAGGGGTGCACTACTCGACGTCAGAGGACAAGGCTGCGGAGAGATTAGGGCGGAGTGTAGTGCCAGGATATATGACAGAGGAGCAGCCAAGCGCGAGGCTTTGTATTACGAACACCATAATGTTGGGCAAGGCAAACCAAAAAGGAGAACTTGTCATATGAGGATTCGTCATGATGCACATAGTGAAACTGCCCGGTGCTGGTAAACTAACGGTCGATACCTGGGCCGCCAATTGGATTTTATAACGATCACCCGATGGCAAGCCGTTCCTTTTTCAGATCCACAAAAGCTTCGCTCAATGTACAACTGAAAAGAATTGCGGGGAAGAAACACAGCAAATCACAAACAGCGATTATGTACGGGAATTGCATGTGGAGACCCCCTTTGTTGCCATCAACACGTGAAAAGGAGAAAGACAAGTGCGATCTGCAGGGTAAAAAAAAGTGATCTATTTGTATGAACAAGTGGCGCCAAAGGTATACTGTTCTTTTGAAGATGTTGAGACTGGAGAACAAAGAAGAAAGCCCATGAAGCACGTAGCAAGCCAAGACGCCAGCTACATGATCTTGGTGTGACCAAAAACATCCCTGCTGATCGCACCCCATTGAGTAGATCACTAGTCGAAAAGGGGCACTAGAAAAAGAAATCAACGAGACGCTGATCAAATGGGTCTAATGAAATGGAATGATACGTGAGTACCTTTATACCGATAAGGCATGGTGAAAAAGTTGAAGCTTGGGAATCTACACAAAGCAGTGCTGGTGGTACTAGCTCGGGCGCTGCAAAAACTTTATGGAGAGTAGACATGTGATAAGCACGCCGCAGTTACCCAGGTAAAGAAGTCCTCGTGGAACACTCGGATTGCTGATGATCCATAGTAATAAGCCCGACCACAATGGTGTACCTGCGATAGCAGCGAGCGTCTGGACAGTTCGGATGCTCATGTAGAGCCTCTGTACGGCTTCCTCGCTTGACAACCCACTGGTGGCAAAGGAACGTAGAGCATCGGAAAGGCCCATGCCCGTGGCACCAATGGCTACACCAATAGCATAAATGGACAAAGACGGCGCCATGGCAATGACCAATGCGCTCAATATGCCAGTCAGTAGACTGCCGACGATGATGGCCAAGTCAACGGCGTGTTTGGCGTGCAACCGTGGGCGGAGGACGTATCTGGACAGTAAAGGCAAAGCTAGGAGGGTGCAGGCCGAGATGATCTGCTCCAAGGCGGTGATCTGATCAACTTGGGAAAGGCTGGTTTGGAAGGTACCTGATGCCCATTGGGGAGTGGTCATGGAGATGACGGCTGCAAGTGTGGTTCCGAAAAATAACATCATGACTCGTCGAGTAAAAGGATGGCGAAAGGTCTGAACGACGAGCTCTATAGACAAGTAAAGGTCTACCGTAGCAGCACGAAGCAAAGCGCGAAAAAGAGAGGGTGTTCGGGCTTTGGTTGCCTGGTCGCCATCATGATCGGCCATGAAGGGAGGGTCAGATTGAATCGCGATGACCATTTCGTCGACCGTTTCGTCGACTATCATCAAGGAGCGGATTTCATCGCCCGAGGCATCATCTGTATTGTAGGTCCGAAGTGTTCGTTGTGACTGGCTTTGCTCCCCGTGATGGTGGGGGAACAAGGAGACGAGGGGCACGAGGAAGACGTATACGGCAACAATCAAAGCACAAGTGATGAAGACGTTGACGTTGAGAAGACGCGCACCAATGAATGTGCCCAGAGACATCATTCCGATCAGGATGGCGCTGAGGAGATTGAAGGTGCCAGTCCTAGCATCAATGTTGTGGTCAGCGAAAGGGCACATGTGTGTGGTTTAAGCCACGGTGCAACAAGAGAGAAGGAGACTCACATGCCCTCTTCGGGCACGCTTCCAGCGATGTAGAGGTAGAGGAGGATCTCCCGCATGGGAATGCCACCCCCAAGTAGGTCGAAGAAGGCAGAGAGAAGGACCCAGCGGACATCGATGATGTTGTGCAAGTAGACTACAAGGCAGTGCCATAGCAATTAGCTCGTAGCCTAGTGAGGCAGTGGATAAGCAGGCTACGTACACGCGGCTGCATACCAGGCCATGCGCAGAGCAAAACTCGTGGTGTTGAGGATGAGAATCTGTCTTGCGCCCACCAAGGATGCCAGCCTGGTATAGATGGGGCTAGCCAAGAAGCCTGAACATAATGATCAATTTGAGAGCGCAGGATGGGAAGCTGCAGAGTGGCGCACACGTGATGAGCATGGAGAAATCGAGACCGGCTGCGAACAACGTCACACGTGACTGCAGTTCTTCGGTCTTGCACAGGGCCTCCGGGACACGGCCATCGGGGGTGACAAAGGAGGGGTCGTGCTCAGTGTAGTAGGCACGACAGATGGCCTGTTCGATGAGGAAGGTCTGCGAGGCTTTGGTCATGGCGCAGCCGAGGCCGTCGAGGGCCATGGCGAGCATGGCACACCATTGCACCGAGAGTCGGGCGCGTGGCTGACCCGACGATGTGGGCTTATTCATCATGTTGTGGGCTGGCGGAAAAATGGCACAAAGAGGAAAGTGCAACGGTGCAGCGATGGCGACATGGGCGACAGGGATGGCATTTATACAAAGCGACGTCGGCCATCGCGACCGCAGCCACTGGACATGGCTTGTGCCGGATGACTTGCATACTTGCGTGACTGGCAGGCAAGGCTCACCAAGATAGCCAGTGACAGATCACATGCCTGCCATGTAGTCACCCGAGCAGCACATGGTCATATACAAGGCAAAAGCAAAAGAATATCGTCAACAAGGGCTAGTAAATCACCATGACTTGCCTTCATGTCTTCACCACGTTGCGATAACATGAACCAAGATAGATTGATACACGGGATGAATGAACGAGATTGAGCACGAGATCTATGAGCAGCGTCGCCAATGTTGATGTCTTCTTTACTTTTGGCTATGTGATTGTTGGGATGCAGCGCTGGATAGAGGGACCATGTAAGCTGCCTTTTGTGTGGGACGTGTTAGAGATTAGAGGCGGGGGCAGCCGAGGGTTTGGCGGCGTGGGCCTTGGATCGGCCCGCTGTTCAAGGCCTGATCGATGCGCCGGAGTCCCTCGTCGACGTAGTCGGCCGGGTGGGCAAAAGCCAGGCGGAACAAGTCGGGCGATTCGCTGTCAAAGTTGCCGCCCCACGCCAGATAGACCTTGTGCTCCAACAGCGCCCTCTTGATGTTGTCGACTGCCTCCTGTCTGCCGGCTGCAGACTGCGGGTGGCGGCGGCGGTAGGCGGTGCCAAGGTCTGCCCACACAAAGAGCGCGGCGTGGGTGCAGGGCATGAAGGGGATGTCGTGACGCCGCAGAAAGTCGGTCGTCCGGGCGTAGGCGTTGGCCAGCCGTCTCTGGTTCTCAGCGAGGTAGCTGGTGGTGAAGGCATCGTCTTCGAGCATCTGCGCAACCACATGATCAGTGAGCGACGAGGCGTACGAACCAATAGCTACCGACGCTACAGCGGTCTGCAGGTCCTTATTAGCTAGCGAGATTAAGCACCCCAGCCGCCACCCGTTAGCGCCGAAATCTTTAGATACCCCCCACAAGATGTGCACTAGAGCCGGGTTGATCAAGTTCTCTAGGGGCAGCGACAGCACCGAGGTAAAGGCGGGCACACACCATACTGACAGAGCATAGATCTCGTCGCTCAGCACATGCATCTGGTACTTATCGCACAGTGCCACCAGTGCTTCGAGTACATGGCGTGGGTAGCAGCGGCCTAGCGGATTGTGCGGCGAGCACAGAAACAGGCCTCTAACTACGATGCCCTGAGCTCGCGCGCCAAGAAGCGCCTGCTCGTAGCAGTCGACCGCCTCTAGTCCCATTGGATCCACCTGACCGAAAGTGACGGGCACCGTCTGCACCCGGGGCCGCAGATGAAGCGTGATATGGCCGTAGTAGGGCCGACCCAAGAGGAACGCCTCGCCTGGGTCGGCCAAGGCCCATGCTGCATGCTCGAGTGCGCTGGAAACGCCGTTAGTGACGAGGATCTGGGACGCCGACAGGGGCCTGTACGTCTTTAGCTCCCGCCCCAGAAACCTCGCCAGCGCCCGTCGCACTCGCTGGCTGCCGAGCGGGCCGTCCTGGTACGTAAGGACGCTATCCTGGGCCGACCAGTGTTCTGTGAGGAACCCCTGAAGTTCCCTCTGCATCAACCGGTTCTCTGCCACACCGAGGTTAACGAAGCCCTCCGCGTTTTCATGCCGGTCCCACGGCTCTTTCATCACGTCCCACATCTCGTTGGATGCGCTGTTGGGAACCTGCTCCTGAGCTCGTCGCGAGAGCATCGTACACGTTTGAAATTCCAAGCCTTGAAGCAGTCGTGCGTATCGAGCGAAAATCCTTGTCGAGGGTGCCGTCCGAGACCGAGCGCCGACACACGTCGAACTGTATCCTCTTAAACCCCTCCACCAACCCCTTCTCTCTGTGTGCTAATTGTATGCAGCCACAGACCGATCAGCCATGGTCGGCGAGAGCAAACACACGTCAACCTTGCCTATACTGTTTACAGGCAAAGGTGTACGCACAACTCTCACACACCACTCTAATGCTCAACAATTTATAACACACTTCGGCAACCCATTCTCCGCCTTGGGCTCATGACTATTGACAGATCAAAGGGCGCCAATCTGAACAATTAACCACTTGCAGTAGCCTGGAAAACGTGCGAGACCGTTTCCCGCTTCCTCCCGAGACATCTTCATCCCTGCAGGTTCTCCCGCATGCTAACCATGTGCGCTTCGCCGTCTGGTGGTTTTGCAAGTGAGCTGTGGCGCTGGAAATCGCGACATCGGATCATATATTGGGTTCAAAAATGCCTCCACAGGCTATCATTTGCTGCAAAACTACCGTTGACTTGTGTCTAATGGCGCGGTTAAACTCCTCTTCGAGGCCAACAGTCACACCGGGCTTGGTGGGGAATGCACGCCTCCCTGGTGTACAGCATGTTCCGCCCGCAGACGCATGCACGTCATTGCGAGCTTCACAAACGGCGTGCGATATCAACCTATAGGAGAGAGGGTCTGTTTGACTCCACCAATGGCCTCAATAAAACAACTGTCATGATTGACATTAATATCACAATTTCTTCTCCTGGCGGATACGGAGGGCATCGATGGGATCGCCATCATCACATATTCCCAGCATTTTGTCTGTGCGATACCCAGCAAACTTTTGTGCTTCTGCCGACCACGACTCCACCTCTTCAATCGTATAACACGTAAAGTCATTCGTCTAGTAATTGATCAGCCAGGAATGCATAAGCGATACGGTTACTGATATCAAATACCTCAGGCCGAACCCATGATCGGCAAAAGAAGATGGCATGCAGCAACCGGGGTTCGCGGGTCACGTTGCCTCCACCCGCGTGGATAGCCGAAGAGAGGAAAAGGAGGGCCTCGCCGCGCAGCATTTCCACTGCAATAGTCTCATTCTCGCCAGCTTGTCTCTCATCGGCCCACAAGTGAGAACCAGGGACGAACTAGAAGATGACAGATATCAACGAATGCGATAAGTGCAAGCCACATGCATGATTGACATACCAAAGTGGCTCCGTTTGCCATGGTGGTGTTTACCCCTGGTACCAGTAGCCCCATTCCCAAGTCGGTTCCCAGACGATAACCTGATTTTTCCTGATTAGGATGAACGTGCTGCCAGATACTGTCGTCACGATGTAAGGCCTGAGCAAGACCCCCCTCCAATGTCGCAATACTCGTTGCCTGGGACAAAATGGAATCGGTTCGGCGCCCAATAGGACTGTTCGGGTCTACGTCCGTGGAATTGGATGTATGGAGGAAATGATTAACGATGTGCTGCAGGCCCGAATCCAAAATCCACTTCTCACGTGCAGTCTCACTGCGGCCGTACAGCAGGCTGCAGTAGACACGGCCCTTGTAACGGGCTTGCCACTCCTAGAGGTGCAGCGGCTGTCAGCTGGGCGGTTTGATCAACTATGGGTCTCAACTTGCCTTGTCTCGCATCCGTGCATCCATGACCCCTCTTACATCCTGATGCACCTGATCCAGATCGTTGAGCGAGGTGAAATCACTAAGAATAACTCCACCATCTTCCTCGATGGCCTTGATAGCTTCATCCGGACGACTGAGGGGTATGCGCTGCAACATGGCTGGACAGCCTGAGAAGATCCCTTTTCTGGCAGTGTTGCGATGTTTATGATAATTCAAAGCCGTGGTGTATCGTACCAAGGACTTGGAGAAGACAATTTGACAGACCATGTCTGGAGGTTGATAATGACACGTTATATCTATCCCCCCGTTCCGGAAGGGTTGGGGGATGATCATGCACGATTATTGGCATCCACTCGCCTGTGCTGCTTCTTGCATGACGAACACATTAATTGGAGAGACGTTCGTAATCTAGAACGTGAAAAGAGATGACAGCCGAGGGATCTACTCCTGACTTACATATCCGTAACGGAAGCATTGTCAACACACTCCACCCACCACCTTCGGCGTGTGGGCCAGGGATGGATTAGTGCAACTGATGATGCATGATCCTATGGGGCCATCCAAACTCAACAATCTTCTGTCTAGCCATCATCGGGATCTTTCTCTGTGTTTATACTAGATTGACTTCCACCACTAAGATGTTGCTTGCCAGGTTCACTGCAAAGCTCACCGTCGACAGCAACATTCTTAGCAAGAACCAAAAATACACAGAAGAAACATTTTCACACCGCAAGTCACGACACTAGGAGTTCTCACGTTCCAGAGCTAGACACTGTGTTCGGTCAGATGGCTGATCCTGACATTGAGGACTTCCACACCATGGACGTGGAAGATACGATCAATGTGGTAGATGGGGCGGCCGCTGTCAAAGATGTGGCACAACTCCATCTATGGAACGATAGGATGACATACGCCGGCGACCATTTACGCGTACACGACCTGATCGAAAAGCACATCATGCAGGGACCATCAGCTCCGAGTGTGTGCGCCTGGGATGGCAAATGGACCTACGCAGAGTTAGACAAGCTCTCATCTGCCCTGGCGTCCAATCTCATCGCGAACGGCATTGGGTGTGAAGACTTCGTACCCTTGTACTTCCACAAGTCAAAGTGGACAGCCGTTGCTATCCTCGCAGTGGTGCGCAGTGGAGCAGCCTTTGTACTGTTAGAAGATGCGCACCCGCTGCCTCGACTCCGTGAGATCTGCTCTGAGATGAAGGCGACCTTGGTAGTGGCTGCAGAAGACTTGGAGAGTCCGGCGAGGCAGCTGGTCGACGGTGCTTCGGTCATCGTATTGGGCCAGTCTTCCGTCCTAGAGTATGTCGCTCATGACGAGCAGACTTGGCGAGCATCACCTGTTACCGGGTCCAGTGCCTTGTATGCTATCTTCACATCGGGTTCGACAGGACGACCAAAAGGTGCTGTGATTGAGCACGCTTCTCTATGTGCTACGGCCGTGGCTTCAGGACGTGTGTTGGGCATGAGTGTGCACACTCGCGCTTTTCAATTCGCCTCATTCGCATTCGACCCCACCATCATGGACTTTTTGCGGACGTGGATTTATGGCGCCTGCGTCTGCATCCCCTCCAGAGAACAAGCCAAGAACGATATCGCTGGTGCTTTCACGGCTCTGCGAGCCAACATGGCTAGTCTGACGCCCTCAGTGGCGCGAATGTTAGACATTAAAGACCTCAACGGCCTTGAAGTTCTCGAGTTTGCAGGAGAACCAATGCTCCCATCCGACCGGGAGAAGTGGGCCGATCACGTGACATTAGTCAACGCGTACGGCAATGCTGAATGTTCCGTCTACACTATCATGCAATCCCCAGTGCTTCGAGAGACTCCAACCAATAGTATAGGCTTTCCTATAGGTTGTGTGGCATGGATCGTCGATGACATGGACGCCGACATCCTGCTCCCGCTCGGACGAGTAGGGGAGCTGGTGGTCGAAGGGCCTGCTGTCGGCCGCGGGTATCTCAACAACGCTGAAATGACTGCGGCCTCTTTCATTCGAAATCCTGCGTGGCTGCACGAGTTCCGCAGCGAGGGTGCAGAAAAGCAACGTCTATACAAGACAGGTGATCTTGCTAAGTTCCAGCCGGACGGGTCAATCCTCTGCTTGGGACGGAAAGATACACAAGCCAAGATCCGTGGCCAGAGAATCGAGCTAGCTGAGGTGGAATGGCATATTAGACAACAGCTGCATGTACTTGACGAGGTGGTCGCCGAAGTGGTACGATTAGAAGATGGTGGAACGAGTCGGGCGGTGCTCGTGGCTTACGTTAGGCTGCATGACACCACGCTCCAAATTGAGAGCGTGCCAGAAGAGCACAGTATACTTCTCGCCACTCCTAATGAGTCTTTCCGGCTCAAGATGGATGAGGTCGAGCGAGTTTTAAAGGCTCGCATTCCGGCGTACATGGTCCCTGGTGCATACGTTGCATTAAACTACGTCCCGCTTTCCATATCTGGCAAGACGGATCGCAAGCAGCTCAAAGAAGAGACGGCGAAGAAGCCATGGAGCGAAATCGAGAGCTACATGCTGGCACCAACCGATCAGTCACTTGTACTCACTACAGACCTGGAGAAGAAGCTCCAAAATGCTTTTGCCCATATCTTGGGGTTGGAAGGAAAATGCTTCGGCCTGGACCAATCATTTTTTCGCCGCGGAGGCGATTCCATTCTTGCAATGCAGCTGAGTGCCCACTGCCGTGCGCAAGGGCTACCTGTTACGACACAAGAGATTTTCCAGTGCCCGACGATCTCCTCCCTGGAAGATGTGATCTTAGCAAAACCGGAGTATCAAAATCAGCATACTGATAATTTCTTCTCACTGTCCCCTGCTCAACATCTGCTTTTGCGGCAGTACAACGTGGCTGAGCCGGCGGGCAGGTATGAACAAAGTCTCAACACCTATTGCATCATACGCATCGCCAGAGCAGTGAAATTCGAACAGCTGGAGTCGGCTATGACGTCTCTCGTCCTTCGCCATCCCGCGCTGCGTAGTAGATTTGCCGTAGATGAAAACGGCTGCTGGACGCAGACAGTAAGTGACGTATCGAAGCGCTCATTCCTTTGCCTTTCAACGCATGGTCCTGCCACGGATTCATCCAACGGTCTGCAACAGTCAATTACCCATTTTGAACACTTGAATCTACATGATGGGCCGTTAATTGTGGCCCAATTGATTGAAGGCGAAGGCAACGACCACAATTCCCTGCTCCTGGTTACTCCAAAGTTAGCTGTCGACTTTCCGTCACTGGAGATAATCGCCGAAGAACTTAATGGCCGCCTAGAGTCACAGGAGGTATCGGTATGCAGAGCTGCTGGGTCGTTCCGTTCTTGGCTGGAGAAGACAACGACATCAAGGTCGTCGTTCAATCCCCTGGATTTCCTGGCCACGCCTGAAGCTTCTAGCATGAATGAAGGCATGTACCACATCAAAACAGATCCCATGCAACTCCGTCTAGAGCCAAAGACAGCCAATCTGCTCTGGGAGAAGAGCGCTGAAGTCTTATGGGCCGATCCAAAAGAGGTCTTCATGGCTGCGTTATCACATGCCTTCAAGGCCACGTTCCCAAACCGAGGAAATCTCTTCATCCTTGTCGAGAGTGATGGTCGGTCACACGATGTCGCTGGCGAGATAGGTCAATTCACTACATATGTACCGATAGAGTTGTCGGCGACGAGTGCAGACTATATCGGCGCGATAGGCGAAGTCAAAGATCTGTATCGGGCAGCATCGAGAAAATATGAGTTTCGCACCCTGGAAGATGGTCATGTAGGTGTACTTTTGCGCTGGACCAAAAAGGTAAAGCGGGAAGATGATATTCTTCAGCTTGCGAACGAAAACAGCTGGTCCTTAGATGCGTTGCATGTGAACACCGATAACAAGACATCGGCATTCCGTCACCAGCTTGGCCTGTTGGACATTACTGCAGAACAGTCATCTGACTCTCTCGATGTCAATTTTGTCAACTATCACAATAATCCAACGCAACACGACATGCGCCTCTGGCTGGAAACTTGCCAACAATTTCTATCCGAGCTCCCTGAGCTACTCCAGGGAGCCTCTCTACAACTCCGAGTCAGTGACTTTCCCCAGCTCTGCATGGGTCAAGAAAACCTAGTCTCACTGCTATCCAACCTTTCCTCCCAGAATTCCGGTGTAGAACGATCTGGAATCAAGGAACTGTACCCAGTATCCCCTATTCAACAGGGAATGTTACTTAGTCAAGCCCGGAACCCGCGAACATACAAATCCATCGTAGCTTGGAGAGTCGAGTCACGCGACGGCACTCCCGTCGATATGGAACGGCTGCAGAAGGCCTGGAAGACCGTGTTTGGAACACATTCCATATTGCAAACCGTGTTCGTGCATGACAACGATGGCGCGTATTACCAGGCTGTCTTGAAATCTCCACCTCATCCGATAACTGCGTTGAATGCCAGTCAAGAGCCCTTCCTGGAGATCGATCATGGTATGCCTCACAATGGACAGGTGATTGTCCCTTGGCACCTCGATCTGGCGGCCTGTGGGGGCGGGACCGTGATATGCGAGCTCCAGATCAGCCATGCGCTTATGGACGGAGAGTCTATGCGCGTGTTGGCCAGAGATGTTGCGCTTGCATACGACGATAAATGGCACAATTATCACAATTCTCCACGTTACAGCCAATACATCGAGTTCCTGAGTCAGGTCGACAGTGGACATGCTCTCGGATACTGGGATGTATATCTTCGAGACCTGAAACCGTGTATATTCCCGTCCACTCCAGCCGTCAATTCTGCCATCCCCATTGAGCGTTTCACGAACATCGACGTTGTGCTGGGAGATGCTTCTAGCTTACATGTGTTCTGTGAGAAAGAGGGTGTAACTCTTTTCAACGTCATGCAACTCGCATGGGCAATCGTTCTTCAATGCTACACTGGAAACGAGAACGTCGCATTTGGATACCTAACTTCAGGCCGAGATATACCCGTCGATGGTGTTGACGACATGATAGGACCTCTTATCAATATGTTGATCAGTCGGGTCGATTTGGGTAAAGAGACAAGCGTCCGGCAGGGTCTGGAACAGTGCCGAGTCCGCTTCATGCAAAGTCTCCCCCATCAGCATTGCGCTTTGTCCGATATTTATCGCGCGCTTGGGCATTCTGGCGCAGGCTTGTTCAATACCATCATCACATACCAGAAAGGCCTCCCTCTTAACGCAGAGACAAGTGTCGTCCTTGAACAGACACGGGATGAGCAGCCTACGGAGTTCGATATCGTCGTCAATGTGACTGTTGTTTCGGATACTATAGCTGTCTCCCTTACTTATGACGCGAGTAAATTTTCCAAAGATATGGCTGGCAGCATAGGACGCACACTCAGCACGATTATTTCGGAAATCATCTCAACTCCAGGTGTTGCCGTATCTGAGATCAACGTACTCAGCGCTCCAGACTACGCTCAGATCTTGAGCTGGAACAGCCCTCCGGCCGAGTCTCTAAACACGTCTATTGGAAACCTCGTGCGATCGACATGCCTTGATTTGTCACAACAAATAGCAGTCGATGCCTGGGATGGAACCCTTACATACGAGCAACTGTGGATTTACTCTGCTTATCTTGGCAACATGCTGCGTGATCATGGCGTGGGTGCGGAAATACTTGTGCCCATATATATGGAGAAATCGATGTGGGTACCAGTCTGCATGCTAGCTGTACTGCGGGCAGGGGGTGTTTGCGTTCCCATCGATTCTAAGTCCCACATAGATCGGGTGCGAGCGATCCTCGCCCAGATCTCACCAATAGTCATGCTGGTTTCCTCTACACCAGCTCAGCTTGAGCTTGATTCGTCTTGCAGGAGGATATCGATATCGCCCGAGCTGTTCTCTCCCGTGACGAAGAAGCAAGATTCCGAGGTAGCTACGCATGTGGAGCCGAAGAGTGCTGCATTCATCCTGTTCACCTCAGGAACCACAGGCCGGTCCAAGGGCATCATCCTGCAACACGACAGTCTTAGCAAAGCGTTCGAGGAACAAAGGATAAACCTTCACATATCGTCTGAGTCTCGTGTTCTACATTTCACGTCATACAATTTTGATTTGAGTGTGTTTGAGGTATTCACCACGCTAGTGTCTGGAGCCTGTATCTGCATACCTTCCGAGACAGAAAGGATAAATGGACTGAGCGACTTCATCAATAGAGTCCAAGTGAACTGGATGGGCATGACCCCTTCGCTTCTCCGCTTGTTCAAGCCTGGTGACGTTCCTACAGTACACACTTTGACCTTGGTGGGCGAAACAATACCCCAGGATATCGTGGACCTTTGGGCAGACAAGGTTCGTCTCTTCAATGGGTATGGCCCCGCTGAGTGTACCATATGCACAGTCCATGAAATTGAAAGTATCAACTGGATTCCTGGTACTATCGGGCGGCCTGTTGGCGGACAAGGATGGGTAGTGGATCCATCGAACATCAATCGCCTGATGCCGATAGGCGCAGTGGGAGAACTACTCTTCGAAGGTCCTGTCGTGGCTCGGGGCTATTTACAGTTGCCCGAAATGACTCAGAAGAGTTTCATATCAGCGTTGCCCAAATGGTTACCCACCTCCTCTCCCAACGACCGATGTTGGCTCTATCGAACGGGCGACCTCGTACAGCATAGCTCAGACGGCTCTCTGATATATCTCGGGCGCAATGATAACCAAGTCAAATTACGTGGACAAAGAGTTAACCTGGAGGAGATTGAGTTTCAAATGAGACAGCACCTTTCCACTAAACATGATGTAGTGGTTGATGCCATTCAGCCACGGGACCAAGTTTCGACAAAGTTGCTCATCGCTTTTGTCTACCGAGGGCCGCAAGACAGAGACACCATCGATGAGGCGTCCCTGCTGGTACCAGCTGACGAGCATTTCCGATCGCTGTCGCTCCAAGTTCAAACCAAACTTTCTGCGACTCTCCCAGTCTACATGATCCCTCAACTTACCATTCCCATTACCCAGATTCCTTTCTCAAACACAGGAAAGACAAATCGCCGCCTCATCCGGGAAACTGCCTCGGCTCTATCCCGCAGTGAGCTCGAGGCCTTAGTCAACACACGATACGGAAGCAGACTACTACCTACCACATTGGAAGAGGAGGCTGTTCAGCGCTTCTTCGCAACAGCTCTTCTCTTAGAAATGGAAGGTATAGGTGTTCAAGACAACTTCTTCCAGATTGGAGGCGACTCTATTACGGCTATGAAAGTAGTTGGCCTTGCGCGTGCAGAGGGCTACGCCTTGGTCGTCGCGGACATCTTCGATCGCCCGATATTGGCTGCATTGGCCGCAGAGTTGCAAAGTGCGGCCGTGCTTGCTGATACCAAGCCTTACATTCCGTTTTCACTTGTCCCAAGCGAGGAACAGATCGAGGTACTTCGATCGCTGGCCCTGGAGAGCTGTCATATTCCCCCAGACGCACTTGAAGATATCTACCCATGCACCTCTCTACAGGAGGGGCTCATGAGTCTGACCATCAAGAAGCAGGGCTCTTACGTCGCGCAATACGAGTATGCGCTGCGAGATGATGTGAACACTTCTCAATTGGCAACCGCCTGGAATGTTGTTGTTGCGGCAAATCCCATCCTGCGAACTCGAATTGTCCAGTCGCAATCAGGACAGTTGTTCCAGGTCGTGACCAAGCACGGTGATGTATGCAAGGCCCAGCTTTCTGGACTGGAAGAGACCAAGAGGAAAGCCAAGGAGCAACAAATTGGTCTTGGATCGCTGTTACTTCAGTATGCAGTAATAACCGAGGATGACTCCGCATACTTTATTCTGACCATTCATCATTCCCTTTACGACGGTTGGTCTATGACACTCTTGTTGGAACAGTTGGAATCGGCGTACCGTAACATATACCCGACAATTCGTCCGTTCACTGGCTTTGTCGACTATGTCAATCGTCGGGACCTCAATGCTTGCAAGACTTTCTGGCGAACATATTTTGACGGTATCAACATCGTCACGTTCCCCAGACCCGAACCCCAGAGGCTCTCTACCACAGAATCACCTCCATTGCAGTTGTTAGAACACAGAGTAGAGATGCCGGCAGCCAATTCCCGCTTCACTCTTTCGGCTATCGCCCGTCTTGCCTGGGCTATCGTACTTTCCAAGCACACTGACTCTGAAGATGTCATATTCGGGGCGACAGTCGCTGGTCGCAGCGCTCCTGTCGAGGGTATTGAACAGATGACTGGTCCGACAATTGCTACGATTCCTTTCCGCGTCCAAGTCAGCCCCTCGTTTACTGTGGAGCAGTGCCTACAAGAGGTGCAGTCACAGACAATTGCTATGATCCCCTACGAGGGGACAGGGCTACACAATATCCGACCCATGAGCGCGGATGCAGCTGTCGCATGTCAATTCCAAAACCTGCTTGTTATCCAACAACAAGGGAGTTTCTATAAACCTGAGCTTTTACGAGAGGTGCATCGAACTTCTGATAACATTGCGGCTATCAATACTTACCCGCTTACGCTGTTGTGTAATTTGAATGGAGATCATGTGCTGCTTCAGGTTTCTTATGATCCAAGCGTCTTGAATCCGGCGAAGGTTAGAGTTCTCGCAAAACAATTCGGATGTGCTATTCGGCATTTGTTGGATGCAGGGAATTCCACAATCGCTGAGGTACAGTTGAACGATAAGGAAGACCTACAACAGCTTCAACGCTGGAACCAATACATTCCACCAAGATCGGAAACCACAGTACATGATTTGGTCAATCACCACTTCAAAAGCCAACCAGAAGCTGCGGCAATCCACTCCTGGGATGGCAAATTATCCTACGGGGAGCTGAACCGTCTGTCAGCTCGATTAGCCTTAGCTCTGATTGAGATGGGAATCGGCCCAGAAGACTTTGTTCCTCTATATTTCGTGAAGTGTAAATGGACCACAATAGCTATGCTAGCGGTGCTTCGTGCAGGCGGAGCGTTCGTCCTATTGGATCCTGATCATCCGATCGACCGTTTGCTTAACATCAGCGCTCAGCTAGATGCTTCAATCTTGCTTTCCATGAGTCTGCTTTCTTCTACGGCAGATACTATCTCACCCAACGTCATCTATCTAGATTCATGGGATTGGGATAGCACCATGGATCAAGAAATGCCGACAATCCCAAAGACCTCTGGCCCTCGGAATAAGGTGTACGCTATTTTCACTAGCGGCTCGACTGGTGTCCCGAAAGGAGTCGTCATCGAGCATTCTTCGATCATCACAAGCGTGCTTGCGCTCATAGACCACCTAGGGCTAAATAACTCTACCCGATCGCTACAGGCCACTGCCTACGCGTTTGATGCTTGTATGTTGGATCATCTATCGACTCTTCTGGCCGGTGGCTGCTTGTGCATCCCCAGAAGTTCGCACGTTTACACCGATCTTGCAGCCACAATCCGTGAGCTTCAGGTTAATTACACGATGGTTACACCATCTGTGGCAGAGCTTCTCCGACCAGAAGATGTCCCCGGGCTGCGTACACTGGTACTAACAGGGGAGACCGGGACGGCTGACTTAGTGGCTACTTGGGCCGACAGGGTGAAACTTATCAATGCGTATGGTCCCGCTGAATGCTCTGTGGTGTGTGTCATACTGTCGCCTGTTGGCAGTCAAGATCGTTGTGCGAATATTGGTTTCGCTCCTGGAAGTGCAAGCTGGGTCGTCGACAAGAATGACCACCACAGACTAGTCCCTATAGGTGCAGTGGGAGAGCTGCTGATAGAAGGTCCAATCCTTGCGCGCTGTTACCTCAATGACGAGGATAAAACGCGCGCTGCTTTCATCCTAGATCCTGCCTGGGCGTATCTATTCCCCCCTACAGCTGGTTCCCGCAGATTGTACAAGACCGGCGATTTGGTTCAGTACCAACCAGAAGACGGTTCGCTATTGTATATTGGCCGCAAAGACACGCAGGTGAAAATTCGCGGCCAGCGCCTGGAGCTGGGCGAGATCGAGTATCACATCAGAAACTCTGCAAACTCTGCTCTGCGTGTCGTCGTTGACGTTTTCACACCACTGAGCGACAGTTCAATTACAATGCTAGCTGCTTTCGTTGAGATGGCTCCCAACTCCAAAACTAGGTTGGGCAAGCCATGCGTTCATCCGCTGTTCGCATCAACAACAGAAGACTTCCACGATTGGGTACAAGCGATAATGGCTCGAATGCGCGAGAAGCTGACCACGGCGATGCTACCCTCTGTATTCTTCCCTGTCGTGCAGATCCCTCTTTCTGTAACAAAAAAGGTGGACCGAAAGAAGCTGAAACAGGCAGCTTCTTCTTTGAAGGCTGCTGATATTCGCTCGTACATGACCAGGGAGAAAAGTAAAACAGGTCCCGCGACACCGGAGGAGTGTCTAGTTCAGTCTGTCTGCGGTCGTGCCCTTAATGTGCCTCTCGAGGAGATTGGAATGAATGATACATTCCTTGAGCTTGGCGGCGATTCGATCTCAGCGATACGTTTGGTTGGAAGCATTCGAGCTGCGGGCTGGGCTCTGGATCTAATTCATGTTCTCACTGAGCCAGATCTAGCTAGTCTAGCGGCTAAATTACGCCGCCGCGAAGACACCGCAATAGTCCGTCATCATACTCCATTTGGTCTTCTGGGAGCCGAAACAAACGCTTCTTCCCTGAAATCTCTCGCAGCGAACGCATGTTGTGTGGATGTTGAACAGATCCAAGACATTTACCCAGCCACTGCTCTCCAGGCCGGCTTACTCGCATTGAGCCTCAAACAACAAGGTTCTTACCAGGCTTACCTTCCTCTCAGACTAGCAGCACATACAGATATAGAGAGACTCCAGATGGCTTGGGAGGCAACGTTGGAAGCGAATCCTATATTACGAACCAGGTTGTTTCAGGACTCGGACGGACAACTGTATCAAGCTGTTGTTAAGACTGCAGTTCAGTGGCACTCTGCAAAGGATTTAAATAATTACTTTGAGAAGGATGCCAGTCTTTCGGTGAGTCTGGGAGGACTTCTCACCCGCTTTGCTGTGATAAGAGAGTCGAAGCAACATCAGTCATGTCTCGCAATAACGCTCCACCATGCACTGTACGATGGGTGGTCCCTGCCACTTCTCTTCAAGGATCTTCAGACGGCCTATCGAGACGTATCTTTGGTCCCTCGGCCATTTAACGGATTCGTGGATTATATCTGCCGAACGGATCCCGACGCCATGTCCGAATTCTGGAGACGCGAATTCCAAGGTCTATCGTGCACCCAGTTCCCAGTGGTACCTGTTCTAGAATACAATCCGAAAATTAGTGACATAATTGAGGACACTCTGGAGTATGGCAACTCGGGCTCTCGTTTTACAGTGTCGACGATCCTGCGTCTGGCTTGGGCCGCTGTCATATCGAGCTATACAGGGCTCGACGATGTCGTTTTTGGCACTACTGTCGCGGGACGGAGTGTATCCGTTCCGGGAATTGAAGAGATGACCGGACCGACTATCGCCACAGTGCCGCTTCGCGTTCATATTGATTCTTCGCAAAGTACCCAAGACGCATTGGAGGAGCTGCATGTGCGCGGTGCACATATGATCAAGTTCGAGCAAGCTGGACTCCAGAAGATCCGGGCCCTAAGTCCAGAAGCAGCTTTGGCTTGCCAGTTTCAGAGCCTACTTGTGACGCAATCGCCGGACATGCAAGAATCAGACGCTGCACTTGCTGATTTCGTCGTCGATGCTGAGTTCGCATATGATGACACTGCATTTTCTTCATATGCTATCAACATCACGTGTGAATTGTTACCGTCATCAATCAAGTTTCGAGTCGCGTACGACAGCAATGTCACTACCTCCGCCATAATGCGTATGATGCTCAGCCAGCTGTTACATGCCACTTCCAGGATCATGGATAATAGCCCGCTTGTCAGGGAGGTCATGGAGATCAGTCCCGAAGGAATGGGATTGTTGAAACAGTGGAATAATCTCCCAGCGCCTGTGAACAGCTGTGTGCATGACTTAGTGCTAAGTCACAGCGCTAATACGCCAGACGCGGTCGCGGTGAAAGCGTGGGATGGGCAGATGTCGTACCGAGAGCTGGATGATCTCTCATTGCAAGTGGCTATATTGCTGTGCGCCCGCAAACTGCCAAATGAGTCGATTGTGCCACTTCTTTTCGAGAAATCTATGTGGACAGTAGTTGCTCTGGTTGGCACGCTCCGGGCTGGACACGCTTTCCTTCTCTTAGACCCTGCCCTGCCAGAAGCTCGACTAAGGACGATGTGCCACGATTCTGGCGCCGAGTTGATCTTGGTATCTCAAAATTTCGCCCCCTTAGCCAAAACAGTCGCTCCGGAGGTAATTGCGCAAGTGTGCTCATACGCAACGCTCCACGACTCTTCCGACACCGGCCGTGCAATAATGCTACCACCTTCAAACCCGAGCGCAATTCTTTACTGCATCTTCACCAGTGGATCGACTGGAACACCAAAGGGTGTGTTGATTGAACACACGTCCTTTTGTGCCAGCGTCGCTGGTGTATACCAGTTAATATCTTTTGGTCCTGCTACGCGAGTGTTTCAGTTTGCCTCATATTCCTTCGATGTCAGTATCACCGACCACCTAGTCCCTTTGATGTCTGGCGGCAGTATATACATACCTCATGCGGATGAAGTCAAGAATAGGCTCTCCGATTCCCTGCGCGAATCGAAAGCCACTTACTTGGAGCTGGTTCCTTCAATGGCGAGGTCGCTGGAAGTTAACGTTTTGGCTAGTTTGCAGATTCTTGGTCTGAGTGGTGAAGCCATAACCAAGGCAGATGTTGAAAAATGGCATGGCACAGTCGCTCTGTCCAATCTGTATGGACCCGCGGAATGCTCCGGTACTTCCAGTGTTCGATTTCCGTTAGATGTGGAAGGTCCTTTCGAGACGCTCGGTACAATGACTGGATGCGTGGGATGGGTAGTTGAACCTACTGATCTCGAGCGACTGGTACCTATTGGAGCGGTTGGCGAACTGATTATAGAGGGTCCCAACGTCGGAAGAGGTTACCTGAATGATTCTGAGCGAACAGCAGCCTCCTTCGTATCCCCTATGCAGTGGCTTCAAAAGCTCCGAGGTGGTGCGCAGGGTCGCGTGTACCGGACCGGAGATCTCGTGCAATTGATGCCTGATGGGAATCTGAGATTTGTAGGTCGCAAAGACCTTCAGGTCAAGGTTCGGGGTCAGCGAATCGAGTTGGTCGAAGTCGAAAGCCACTTGCACTCACTGTTCCCCCGCTCGACGAACGTCGTGGCCGAAGTCCTCCAGCTCAATGACCATAGGGATCAGGCTGTCCTTACAGCTTTCGTGGACTGTCCAGATCTCCGCCAACTGGGAAATGCAAACCTCTGTGCTGACGATGTGGCTATATTGCCTCCAAGTCAGCTTTTCTTGGCTGAAGTGCAGAAAGCGATAGTACATTTACGGAGGACTGTCCCAGCATACTTGGTTCCTGCACTAATCCTCCCCCTCAATCAGTTTCCGGTCAACAACTCAACAAAGGTCGATAGAAAGAAATTGCGAACGCTAGGCACACATCTTGACTGGAAAGACATCAAGGGCTACTTGGGCTCTACTGGGTCTAAACGTGCTCCAGAAACCGAGATCCAACGAGCCCTAGTACTTCTCTGCGCAAAGGTTCTGAACACTGACCCCACAGAGATAAGCATAGACGACAGCTTTCTCTCTCTTGGAGGCGATTCCATCAGCGCTATGTCTATAGTTGCTTTTGCAAACGTTCAACGAATCACCATAACTGTTGCTGATGTTTTGGGCCAGCCTTCCATCGAGAAACTGGCGTCGAAAGCGCAGAAGGACCAGGAGATTTTGCCGTCATCGCATCCAAGTGAGGAAATCGATGTGCCGTTCACGATGTCTCCGATACAGAAGACGTTCTTTGGCGTGGTTACCCCAGAATGCATTAATCACTACAACCAGAGCTTTTTCGTGGCCTTGAACCGACACATTCCGGTTGAAGATCTGAGAAATGCGGTCCATGCTGTCGTGGAACGGCACTCTATGTTGCGGAGTCGCTTCAGCGAGACCGACGGCGAGTGGGCGCAGACTATTGTTTCTGATCCAGGATCCTTCCTATTTGACAGATCCAGGGTACCGACGTTCGAAAGTATCAAGTCGTGGGCGCTTGAAACACAACAAAGTCTGGATATTCGCAAGGGCATAGTGTTTGCGGTCAACCTTTTCGAAGTAGAGGGCCAGGGACAACATATGCTGCTAGTCGCACATCACCTAGTAGTAGATCACGTTTCTTGGCGTATCATTCTCGCAGACATGGAGCACCTTTTGGTCGACAACGTGAATATGGAGGCTGCATTTACTGAGGAGCCCTTGTCTTTCCAGACATGGTGTCACCTCCAAGCTCAATTTGCTCGAGAGAACCTCACACCCCAAAGAGCCTTCCCAGCATATGACAGGAATAAAGAGCTGTTCTCTACAGATTTCCTAGGCTATTGGGATTTGGAAAATATTCCGAACACTTATGCTGACACGGCGACTGCTGGATTCCAACTGAGTTCGGAAACAACCAATTGTCTCCTTCATGACGCCAACAGCGCATTCAGGACGAGACCTATCGAAATCCTTCAGGCTGCCCTGATATTCTCTTTCATGCATGAGTTTACCGACCGTGGACCACCTGTTGTTTATAGCGAGGGCCATGGGAGAGAAGTTTGGGACTCTTCGATCAATTTGTCACAGACAGTGGGCTGGTTCACGACGATTTGGCCGACATTACCCACAGTAGAACCGGGGCACAGCATCCTAGATGTGATAAGACGGACGAAAGATAGCCGACGAGAAATGCCGGCCAATGGATGGGAGTACTTCGCTTCCAAGGTTTTGAATCCGGAGAGTCGCGAAAGATTGCCGCTAGCTATTCCCATGGAGATCGTGCTCAACTTTGCCGGATTGTTTCAACAACTCGAAGGCCAGGATGGTCTGTTCCGCCTTGCCGATACTCAATTCTCGCAATTTGACGTGTCGACTAGCATCTCTCGGTTTGAACTCTTTGAGATTTCAGCAGTCATCAAGCGAGGCGTCTTGGATGTGAGTATCCTGTACAATCGCCATATACCCTCGAAACGTATCGAGCAATGGAGTGCAACCTTCAAGTCCACGCTGAACAAAGTATGTCAAATGCTACCATCGATGCCGACACAACTCACTCTTACCGACCTCTCATTTCTAAATTTCGGCTATCAAGATATCGACCGCATGATCGAGAGAGTTGCAACGGTGGTGGGTCCAGGTTCCAGCGTCAAGATCGAGGATGCCTATGCTTGCACCGGAATCCAGCAAGGCATGCTACTGAGTCAGGCAAAGAACTCGGCTAACTATGTTACTGGCACCTCATGGGAGATCAAGATGTCCGACGGCCTCGACATTGATCGTTTCATACGTGCATGGAAGAAGGTGGTACAACACAACCCAGTGCTTCGCACAATATTCCTCGAAGGCCACTCCGGTCAGCTGTTGGACCAAATTGTTTTGGCCGAGACAACTGGCAAGATCATTTGCTACGACTCACAGAAACTACAAGAAACCGAGAACGTAACACCAGTATGCCCATGGCATCTTTTGCTTCATGAAGAAGGTGAGACTCTACTTTGTAGACTCGTCATTCTCCATGCCTTACTGGATGGCCACTCTAGTAGACTTCTCCAGCAACAGATCACGGCTGTGTACAATGGAATATCTCTCGAACAGCCGAGCAGTAGTTTGAAGAACTACATTTCGTATGTGCAACAACTCCCAAGCGGTGCTGCAACACGTTATTGGGCCGGATACCTACAAGACGTTGACCCCTGTATGGTACCCACAATGGATGCTGGTGCCGGCGATGGCAAGGCCTCGGTAAAGTACGTCTCTAGAGATATAGCCGATCTCGAAGCGCTGCGATCATTCTGCGAAAACCATCATGTCACAATGTTCAATCTCATCCAACTTGCGTGGGCCATTGTTCTGAAAGCCTACGCAAGCTCCGAGACTGTTTGCTTTGGCTACTTGATATCTGGTCGCAATGTCCCAATTCCAGATATTGAAATGATCATTGGTCCCTTTATTAACATGGTAGTGTGCAAGGTGGAGCTTGAAGGTAGCAATTCCATTGCTGATACGATTCGCTCGGTCAATTCCGACTTCTTGCAGGGGCTAGACCATCAACATACCTCCTTAGTGGAGATCTTCCACGAATTAGGCATATCAGGCCGCGGCTTATTCAACACCGTGGTTTCTTTCCAGACCTTGCCGGAGACGGTAGATGAGATTGAGACATTCTCAGACCTCTCGATCAAGTCTATGGCAGCCGATGATCCCACAGAGTACGATATCACATTGAATATTGCCCTGTCCAGAAATAACATGGAATACGCCCTATGGTACTACGAAAATTCATTCACACAGGACCAGATCACAGACCTCGCCGTGGCATTCGAGGCTGCCCTTTTGGGAATAGTAGACTCAGCGAATGCTCGAGTTCACGACATAGATCTACTTGGCCAAGAACATCTACATTGGCTTCGTGCACGAAACGGAGTGGTCCCTGTGGCTCGAGAGGAGTGTATCCACGATGCCATCGCACCATTTTTTCTTTTGGCCCCTTCTGCCCCCGCCGTGTGTGCATGGGATGGAGATTTCTCCTACGCGGATCTGGGCCAACTAGTATCCAATTTGACCCACGTTCTAGTCCATACTGGCGTTCGCAACGAGAGTTATGTGGCGATTCACCTAGAAAAGAGCCGATGGACGGTGGTAGCCATGCTAGCTGTTCTCCGTGCTGGTGGATCTTTTACACTGATCGATCCTTCTCTCCCACTGGTACACAAGCAGGCTCTGTGCGATGAAATCGCTTGTCGTGTTTTGTTTTCCTCAGCAACTTCGAGTATCCCACTACCGTCCGTGGAGAATGTGATCACAGTCGGCAACGGCGAAGAAGAAGACTGGGCAAAAGCATCTATCAGTTATAGTGTATCGACGCCGGCCCGACCTAGACATGTCGCATACTGTGTGTTCACATCTGGCTCGACTGGTACACCCAAAGGTGTAGTGATCGAGCATGCCTCATTCTGCGCCAGCGCAAGATCTCAACACCGTCTTTTATCTATCAACAATTCTTCTAGAGTATTGCAGTTTTCTGCATACTCTTGGGATGTGAGCATTATGGACCAGCTAGGCACACTCATGGCGGGTGGTTGCATTTGTATACCCTCGGAAAGCCAAAGGATAGATGCGCTGGCGGACGCGATCTACCAGTTTAACGCGACATGGATTCAGACTACGCCCCCAGTTATGCGGCTACTACATCCGGATCAGGTGCCATCATTTGAAACAGTAGTACTCATCGGTGAAACCCCGTCTTATGACGACATCAATACGTGGCATGGGAGGGTTTCTCTTCGGGAAACATATGGTCCGACAGAATGTTCAGTGCTTGCAATGGTCAATCCCGATCCCCCATCTGACCCCAGAAACATCGGACGAGAGAGTGGCTGCGTCTGTTGGATAGTTGACCCGAACGATTATCACAAGTTGATGCCGGTCGGCGGGATTGGAGAACTTTTGATCGAAGGACCAATACTCGGCCGGGGCTACCTGAATGACCCCTTGAGAACTGCTTCAACGTTCGTTGAGAACCCTCATTGGGCTGCAAGCTATAGAAAGTTTGGTCTCATGCGGCTATATAAGACTGGCGACCTTGCCCATTACTGCCCTGATGGATCTATTCGCTATGTGCGCCGAAAGGATACTCAGGTCAAGTTACGAGGGCAACGCATTGAGCCTGGGCAGATTGAGTATCAAATTTCGAGCAGCTTCGAAGGCGCTGAACGCGTCGTTGTGGACGTGGTATTCCTGAACGCGGAGCCATCCCGAGTTTTCCTTGCAGCATTTGTGAAGGAAAGAAATTTCGCCTCTAGTGGCACCGTAGGTGTGGAAATGGATGTCCTAGCCTCGTCCAGTGCCCAGTTTGTCACCAAGGTGGATAGGTGTTTAGTCCATCTGGAGAATCACTTGCCCAAACACATGGTCCCGACCGTTTTTCTACCTCTGGCTTGGGTGCCTGTTACCAGCACATGCAAGACCGACCGCCGACGGCTGAAACAAAGAGTTGCCGACATGACTCGAGACCAACTCGAGGCTTGTACATCACTTGGGCCGTCCAATAAGCAAGCTCCATTGACCGATGCAGAACATAGTATGCGGGAGGTATGGAGTCGAGTATTGGGCATTCCATGCGATTCGATTGGTACGCACGACAACTTCTTTCATCTGGGTGGAGATTCTATGTCAGCCATGCGACTTATCGCAGAATGCCGTGCCGCAGGGACCACTCTCAGCATGCAGGACATTTATAAATACCGCAACATCTACGAAATGGCGCAACGGGACACAATTGGTAGCAGTAGCAATTGCATGGTGAAGAGTTCGGCTGGAGAGTTCTTTGGCCTGTCGCAATTTCAGCAGCGTTTACTCGACAGGTCCCCGCAAGCCAGTCACTCACGGATCTGTCAAAGTTTTTCAGTCGAGGCCGAGAAGGCTAAATTGGATAACAACGGCCTTCAACGCGCCGTGCGAGGCTTGGTCAACCATCACCCCATGCTGAGGGCCCGATTTTCCACAAATGACCAGGGTATCTGGCAACAGCGTGTTACATCGGAGATCGATCAATCATATCGAATAGAGGTTATGGCGATGTCTGAAGGATGGAGCCTCGACAAGGAGCTCCAAAGAATTCCTGAACAGCTTGATATCGCTTCCGGCCCCATTATCGAGGTTCGTCACGTTCAACACGCGGACGGTCCAGGTAGACATGATTATCTTATCTTTTTCTGTCATCAATTAGTGACGGATGCACTTTCGTGCAGAATCATGGCTGTGGACATTATGCGGCTTCTCGACGGAAGCATCCCCACCCCCGTCCCGTCATCTACAACGATGACTTTCCAGAAGTGGTACGAACACACGTCACTCAACGGAGCAGCCGCCTGTAGCTTGAATGATGGTGACGGGCACCAAAATCGAGATGGTCGTCACAAAACTGAATCGCGACTTGACTTTTGGGGCGTCAATAGAGACAAAAGCCCTGTGCGAAACCGTGCTAGTCAGGAGTTTCGCATCGATGCACTGACTAGCAGCTTGCTTTTGGGCTACGCCAATGCTGCGTATGGAACGCAGCCTGTTGATATTGTCCATGCGGCTCTCCTCCATTCCTTCTTCCAGACCTTCGGAGACTGCGAACAGCCGATGATACACCTCGAGTACGACAGTCGCGGTTCTGTGAATGCGCCAATTGAATATGAGAATACTGTCGGCTGTTTCACCAACCTTCTACTCGTCCAACCTGACATCAGTTATAGTCGCGATTTGTTAGACTTGCCACGTTTTGTCAAAGATGCTCGCAAACTATCGCAAGAGCATGCTTTACCAGCGCCGAAGGTGGGATCTAAGACAGCACTGCCATACGAGATAGTCTTGAGCTGCCCACCGAGACTGGTCCACCCAGATGAGCAAGCGAACATTGAGACCGTACCTGCTTCCTTCCGATGCCAATCGGTCAACAGATCACCAGAAACACCACAGCATAGCCTCATCGAGGTCTGCTGTCACTTAGCTCATGACGAATTAGTGGTGTCTTTTTCGTATGATCAAGAGATTCGACATAACGGACACATCGCTGCTTGGCTCGATAATTGCCAGAAGTCGCTTTCCACCGCAGCAGTCGAGTTAGCTGTCAAACCACGCATGTACACTCTTAGTGACTTTCCTCTGTTGCAGAATACATACGCAGAGCTTGATAGTTTCGTGGCCGAAGCTAAGCGTCAAGTCGCCGGACAAGATATCGAAGACCATCCCATCATCGACGACGCGTACCCTTGCGCTCCAATCCAACGTGGCATGTTACTCAGCCAGTCTAGGAATAAGCAACTGTATTACCCTCGCTTTGTGTGGAAATTGCATACTACTGAGAACTCAACGGTAGATTTGCCCAGACTACGGATGGCATGGAACACTGTTATCCAGCGGCACGAAATCTTCCGCACAGTCTTCGTGGAGGGCCTGTCTCAGACCGGTTTCTTTCTCCAGGCTGTCATGCATTCAATCCCTGATGCAATTACTGAGCTCCAGTGTGGTTCTGATGACCTGACCAATTTGATCAGCGATCTTCGCGAGCGAGAGGACCTATCGCGGCAGCATCATCTCTGGCATTTGGTTCTGTGCCAGAATGCAATAGGCGACACTATTTGCGACCTACAGATACATCACGCACTGATTGACGGGATTTCTATCTCTATTTTATCAGATGAGGTGCAGCGCGCTTATGCGGGGTTTTCCCCGACTGGAGGCGCTGTTCGCTACGGTGCATACATCAAATATCTTCAATCAACGCCAGCAGACACCAGCATCAGGTATTGGAGGGATAAACTATCCGAAACACCTTCATGTTTACTTCCAGATATCTGCGACGACCGGGAGTACACATCCTCAAAGCCTCGCAAGCGGGTATTGCTATCTGTCGAAGCTGAAATGGATGATGCATCCTCGATACATCAGTTCTGTGCCAGAAACGAGATCAACATGTCCAACGTTATCTACCTTGCTTGGGCGCTTGTACTGCAGCGCTATACCCAATCTGATCTGGTCACCTTTGCTTACACCACGTCTGGTCGCGACGTCGCCGTTCCAGGAATTGAACACGCCATCGGCGCTTTCATCAACGTCTTGGTCTGTCAAGTGGCTATGACGCCCAGTTTGACACTCCTCGACATATTACGTACCATACGGGATGAGACTATTCGCAATCTCGATTATCAAAACTGTTCGCTGGCGGAAATTGGTCATGCGCTCGGAGTCGACACGACCGAGTTGTTCAATACTAGTGTTTCGGTACATGAGAACGCTGCATACGGAAACCCGTCTGACCTCCCCTTTATCTTCGTCAGTGAGGATGGAGCTGATCCTACCGAGTTCGCAATCTCCATACACGCCGTGGTTGACAGAAACAACATTTCACTTTCTATGGACTACTGGGCAGGCGAGCGGTTGTCTACTAAGCAAGCCACACGACTAATTCACATGTTACGCAAAGTGATGAACAGCATCGTGGCACAACCCCGAGCAACTGTGTTCCAGGTCGATCTGATAAGCCCCGAGGACATGGTCTTGCTACAACAATGGAATCAAAAGGTTCCTGCAAGTCACGAGGCTTGTATGCACGACATCATTGAGACGCACTTTCATCTCAGTGCTTCTTCGATCGCAGTGCAATCATGGGATGGTGATTTGACATACGGCGAGCTCGATGATTTATCGCGCAAGCTTGCAAGTCATCTTGTGGAACTCGGAGCTCTATCAGAGCAATTTGTGCCGCTCATCTTCGAAAAGTCCAAGTGGACTGTTGTAGCAATGGTAGCTGTCATGAGAGCTGGAGCTGCATTCGTGCTCATCGATCCCACTAGCCCGGTTCACGTTCTAGAGGACATATGCACAGACGTAGAAGCGAAGATCGTGCTAGCGTCGGTAACACATCAGCGCGTCATGCAACACCTGAGTGTTTCGACGATTGTAGTGGGGCCCAATACAAAGTCAATCCTGCCCGACTTCCCTCTACCATCAGCAGAGGTCAGGCCATCTAATGCCTTGTATGTTGAATACACCTCAAGCTCAACCGGAAAGCTGAGATGTGTGGTCATAGAACATCGTGCATTCTGCTCGATGTTAAAGGCAAGCAAGCTACCCACGGGAGTCGACGAACACACCCGCGTGTTTCAATTCGCCAGCTACGCCTCACACACTAGTGTCAGCGACCATCTCATAGCGCTTTACCACGGAGGCTGCGTGTGTATTCCTCCACACACACAACTAAAGGACCTCGAGCAAGCCATTTGCGATCTGGAAGCGAATTGGGCAGTACTAACACCTTCTGTTGCGAGGCTGATCAAGCCCTCGAATGTTCCCTCTCTCAAAACTGTCGTTCTGGGTGGAGAACCTGTCTCTGACATAGACCAATCGCGGTGGCAGGGATCTGCTTGCCTGGTCAATGTATACGGAAATGCAGAGTGCGGCCCATTTACCATGGCTCAGCAGTCTGTACTGAGTCGAACGGGTGCTCCAAATATAGGTGTTGGCATGGGGGCGGTATGCTGGATTGTCGATCCCGCTGACCACCAAAAACTTCAGCCTGTCGGTGCCATTGGTGAAATACTACTAGAAGGTCCTGTGGTGGGCCGCGGATATCTGCAAAAGCGTGAAGAGAATGAAGCCTCTTTCGTGGAGGCTCCGGCTTGGATTCGGCAGTTCCGAGCAACATTATCTTCCCGATTCTTCAAGACTGGAGACCTGGCGAGATACCAGTCAAATGGAACTGTGCTTTATCTTGGAAAAAAGGCAACGCAGGTCACACTCAAGGGCCACGTTCTCCAACTTGAGGAGGTCGCTTCCCATGTGCAAAAATGCCTGTACGACAGTAGTGACGTGGTCGTCGATTTGATCCGTCCCAGTCATGGGACTGCAAGGCCAATTCTGGCTGCTTTCATCCATTCTCCATCTATGCACGGTATTCGAGGCTCCCAAGGCGATGCTATCATTCAGCCTACAGCTTTCTTCCAGAGAGCAGCGACCCTAGTTCAAACACGTCTCCGCGAAACATTGCCACGCTTTATGACTCCAACGGCTTTCTTGCCTCTAAGATGGATTCCCCTTACTACATCTGGAAAGTTGGATCGCCGAACCCTACAAGCCTTGTCTTCTCGCATGACATTGGATGAGATTGAGGCATATACCACCCCAGTAGAGTACTCTGTGGATGGAAGCCGTTCAGCGAACGAAGTCGAGACGCTGTTGCAGGAATGTATTGCCCATGTTCTCAGCAGAAAGACAAACAAGATCGGACTGGATGATAATTTCTTCCATCTGGGAGGAGACTCGATTGGCGCCATGGAGCTAGTCACCCGTTGCCGGCATCAAGGTATAGCGATTACTATCGCAGATATATTTCGGTACAAAACCACCCGTCAAATTGCCACTCGCGTCAAGACAGTAAAAGCAAATGCACTGGAATCTAAGGAGCACGTCGGAAAGGCATTCAGCCTGTCTCCAATTCAGCAGCGATTCTTCGAGCGCGTCCCTGGAGGTCAGCTTCGCTTTAATCAAAGCTTCATGGTCAAGCTTCGAAGACCCATACAAGGGATCGAAACGGCGATTTTCGCCATCGTGAGGCGGCACGCCATGTTACGAACTCGGTTCCGAAAAGAATCTGGTGTATGGGTTCAATCGTCGACCGAGAACGTCAAGCAATCCATCCGCTACCGTGTCGCAACGGTGTCGATGGCAGGGTTGAAAGGGCACCTGGAAGGAAGCCAAGAGGCAGTAGACTGTGAGAGAGGTCCACTACTTGTCGTTGATCACATCACTATCGATGGTGGTCAGTATCTCTCGTTCATCGCTCATCACCTCGTCATCGATCTCGTCTCCTGGAGAGTTATCATCAATGATCTGGAAACATTGCTGGTCGATAACGCACTTCCGCCGCAGCATTGCGCATCTTTCCAGACGTGGTGTCATGCGCAAACCGAGTATGTTCAAACGCGAATAAAACCGATGGAGACTCTTCCGTCCCTCGGTAATATTGGGGACTTTGAGGCCGACATCGAAACGTACTGGGACTGTCCTCAGGCCACAAATACACACAGTGAGGCCATGTCTTCCAGGTTCGAACTTGATTCAAATACCACTGAGCTCCTTCTTGGGGCGGTCAATAAGCCCCTGCGATCAAAAGCAGTTGAAATCATCCATGCTGCAATTCTTCTTTCCTTTGTTAGGACATTTCCGAATCGTCAAGCACCAATTATCTACCAGGAAGGACATGGGAGAGAACCCTGGGATAGCTCTGTTGATATTTCAGAGACCGTGGGGTGGTTTACTACGCTTTTCCCTGTTCTCGTCTCTGCGACGCCGGAAACAGGCTTCGTAGACGTTATTCGACGCACCAAGGACACTCTGCGCCGGACAGCTTCTAATGGCTGGGCCTATTTTACTTCCCAGTACTTGCATCCAGATGGGCGCCATCGACTCGACCTGAACAGACCGGCAGAGATCCTGCTCAATTACCACGGTTCTTACCGCAGCCTTGAGAGCAAAGATAGTGTTTTCCAAAGCACGACCGGCATCGATGACACAAGCAGATGCGTTGATCCACAAGTGCCGAGAGATGCAATGTTCATCATAGAAACTTGGGTTTCGGAGGGCGTTTTGCATTTGGACCTGAGCTATAACCGGAACAGCCGCTATCAAGATTCTATTCATAGATGGCTGGAAAACTGCAAAGTGATACTAGAGGAAGCTCCCCATGAGCTCAGCAACTTGCCTCACCAAGCTACCTTGAGCGACCTTGAACGCCTTCCGTTGACTCCACAGGAGTTTACCAGTTTTGTTCGAGTCCTCGGCGAACAAGGAATCGACTCGTCCCAATTACAGGACGCGTACCCATGCTCACACCTCCAGCAAGGCATTTTGCTTAGTAAGCAGGCGGATGAGGCGCTATATGAGACAAGAACCGAATGGAAAATCACGACCTTGGGACCTGATCGGCGCCTGACTGTCGAAGGCGTCGAGGCTGCCTGGGAGGCTGTAGTTTCAAACTACTCGGCATTGCGGACGCTCATCGTGGACAGCTCTTCTGACAGATTCAAAGACCAGATTGTCCTTGAAGGTGGCACGGGAAGGGTCATTATTGAAGACATATCTGGCGTGCAGCAAGAAAAGCAGGGCATACTCCCTTGGGAATTCAGAATCACTCAGCTTTCCGATACGGAGCTTACATGCACGCTTACCATCGGTCATGAAATAGTGGATGGACGCTCGCTTCAGCTGCTTGGTGCAGACCTGGCCCGAGCGGTTAATGGGATCGCATTACATCCCGAAACGTTACAATATGGTGACTATATCCTCCACCTCAACCAAGTGCCAGGAAAGCCTATACAAGAGTACTGGAAAACGTACCTCGGCGGCATGACGTCATGCCTGTTTCCCAACCTGAACGTGTCGCCTAATGGGCGCCTTCACGCTGTGACAAGGCAATTTCCTGCCCATCTTCTGCAAGGATTCTGCGAGATGCATGGTACTACAGCTTCCAACCTCATTCAAGTAGCCTGGTCTTTGGTCCTGCGCTGTTACACAAGCACAAACGACATCTGCTTCGGTTACTTGACATCAGGAAGAGACATTGCTCTCCCTGGTATCGAAAATGCTGTTGGCCTCTTTATTAACATGCTCATATGCCGTGTACAATTGGAAGACAGCCTTTCCGTTCTAAACATTCTGGAACAGAATGAAGGCAACTTCATCCGCAGTCTTGAGAACCAGCATTGTTCTATAGCTAAGATCCAGCATGATCTCGGCTTCCAGCGACGTCCAATCTTTAACTCTATCATCTCGTATCAGTCTCGTACTTCTAATGGGATGCCGGATTCGGGCTTTCATGAGAACAATACACCAGCACATCTAGAGACCATGGATATTCATGATCCCACGGAGGTAAGCATTTCCGTATTTCTCTGTTCCCGTAAATCTAGGGTCGCAATTCTCTCTGTACCTTTCACAACAATCAATGTACCATAGCTGACTTGCGGCAAAGTACGGTCTAGTAATCAACATCGAGGGTGACAGCGACGATTTCAACCTTTCACTCACTTTTTGGGATGCTTGTCTCGATCTGGAGCAGGGATCAAAGCTCTGCGACCTCTTGGTGCAGACAATCTTACACATTGCCGAAAACCCATTCACTACTGTCCGCGAGATTGAAATGCTGGGCAATGAAGATCGCAAGAAGATCCATGCATGGAATCAGGAGGTTCCGCCGACAGAGCTCGTGTGCATTCATGACTGCATAGGTGAACAGTTTCGGAAGAGACCGGAGGCGCCCGCAATCTGTGCATGGGATGGCAACTTCAGCTACGAAGAGCTTGATCGACATTCTTCTACACTTGCTGTTCGTCTTCAAAAATATGGAGTTCAGCCGGACATGTTCGTTCCAATTCTACTGGAAAAATCACGATGGGTCAGCGTCGCGTTCTTGGCCGTCTTGCGGGCTGGTGGTGCTTTCGTCTTCCTCGATCCATCCCATCCCGATTCGCGCTTGCAATACATGTGCCAGACGTTGCAGTCCAAAGTGATCATTTGTTCGCCCGATGACCGAGAAAGAGGAAGGATACTCGCGGAGACGGTGGTACCGGTTTCCCGGCTCGAATTAGAGCTATGCTGGACCGATGAGACAGCCACGTGTATGGCCAAGCCGGACAGCGCGGCTTACGCAGTATTTACATCAGGCTCCACTGGAAAGCCGAAGGGAGTGGTCATTGAACACGCAAACTATGCCACCAGTGGTCGATCGCTCGCGAAACAGCTGCATGTTTCGTCTGATTCGCGCGTCTTGCAGTTTGCGTCACATGCCTTTGACGTCAGCGTTAGCGATTATCTTACAACGCTCATGGCCGGAGGCTGTGTTTGCGTGCCATCTGAGGTAGATCGACTCAATGACATTCCTGGAACGGTGGATCGTCTGGGAGTGAACTGGATACATATGACGCCATCGGTGGCTCGGACGGTGCAGCCATGGCAAGTTCCCAGCATCCAGGTTGTTGTGCTTAGTGGCGAAGTGATGCAGGAGGTCAATATACAGACGTGGGGTATGGCAGTTCGCTTAATCAACGCCTATGGGCCTGCCGAATGCTCCGTTGACTGCGTGGTTAACGACGAAGTGGTCTCACGTCCAAACAGCATCGGAACAGCAAGCGCATCAGTCTGCTGGATCACCGACCGACATGATCCAGAGCGTTTGCTACCGATAGGAGCTGTGGGCGAATTGCTTGTTGAGGGTCCAGTCGTCGGACGGGGTTATCTACGTAATGAGGAACAGACCCGCAAGGCCTTCATCCCGCCGCCGCGCTGGCTAAAGCAGTTACCACGGCCCAATAACACGACAACTAGGCTCTACAGGACGGGTGATTTGGTGCAGTACTTGCCTGACGGCGCGATGCGTTACATCGGACGCCGCGATCAGCAGCTGAAAATCAATGGACAGCGTGTTGAGCTTGGGGAAATTGAGTTTCATGTTGGCCGCGTATTTCCCGTGTCTCAAGGCGCGGTTGTCGACCTCGTTCTACAGCCGCGACAGACTGCGCGACAAATCCTGACCGCCTTTGTACAGTGGGGGGAGGGACATCATGAGGATGCAGAATGCCGAGTGCTCGAGCACGACTCCAGTCCTGATCTTGTCTTGAAGGCACGTGATGCAGCGGTTCAGCTTGGAGAATGGTTGCCCCGGTACATGGTGCCTACACGCTTCATCTTCGTCACCCGCATCCCTCTGACCACGTCGGCCAAGGTAGATCGAAGTAGGCTTCGCCAAATGGCAACACACATGCTAGATGACAAGGCAGGAAACAGTAACAACAAGTCAGACAGACCTCTAACAGTGGCCGAGCAGCAAATGCAGACACTGTTCGCACAAGTATTGGGCGCCCAACTCAGCGACATTCGCGTAGAAAGCGACTTTTTTCAGAACGGAGGAGATTCCATCAAGGCTATGGAATTAGTATCTCGAGCCCGCCGCGAAGGCTTAGCATTAACCGTGGCACAAATCTTGCGCTCTAGTACCCTGGCGCAGCTTGTCAAGATGTCGCAGCCGCTCAACACTTCGCCTGAAGTTAAGCACGTCCGCGACCAATCCGCGCCGGAATCCATCAATACCCATACGCTTCGCTCTCTACCATGGCATGACCTCGCTTTCCGAGAAAGGGATGTATCTGATCTCACCATTACCACCGAGGTACAAGCATTTTCCGCATCTCGGCCGCAGAATTACTGGTTTTTGGAGTTACGGGGTGCCCTGGATACAGCAGAGCTGAGGCGAGCTTGCTTCAAGTTGGTCCAGCGCCATGCCATCCTCAGAACTGTGTTTGTGTGGCATCAGGACCAAACTTTCCAGGTAGTCCTACATCAAATGGATCCTGTGATATCGGAGCGCGAGACTGGAGACGACGACCTGCGGGCCGTGGCTGAGGTCTATAGCAGAGAGGACGCACGCTCGCAGATATTGTACCGGGAGCCGCCACTTCATTTCACCCTGCTTCGAAATAGTCCGGGTCATCATCTTTTGATCATGAGACTCTCACATGCCCAGTATGATGGCTTGTCCATTCCAGTGCTCATGACAGATGTGATGCATTTGTATCAACAGCGCGAACTCAGCATGGAGGCTCCATCTTTTGCTACATATACTCGACACTGCCTGCGCTCTCAAACTGGAGAAGCTCTCAGTTACTGGCGCCAGCTACTACATGGGGCCTCTATGACGCTGTTGCCAGCTAAGTCGGAGAACACAGATCCTGAAGATTCCTCTGCCCAACTAGCGGAAGTCACAGCCAATTTACGAAAACCAAACCAGCCGCCTGGAATCACCATAGCTACAGTGATGAAGACTGCATGGTCCCTCGCTCAAGCCCGGATCTTGGCAAACCACGACGATATCGTCTTTGGCCAACTTGTCAGTGGGCGCAATGCGCTGGACAACCAGCCTGACCTATCCAACGTGATAGGGCCATGTGTGAACATGATTCCAGTACGAGTGCGGCTAGGCGAGCTCTCACAGGAACCTGTGGTTGCTCTGATGCGTCGACTTCAAGACCAGCATGCGGCCTCTATGACCTTTGAAACGATTTCGCTGGGCGCAATCGCAACGAATTGTACATCTTGGGATCCGAAGGTTGAATTTGGCTCCATCTTACATCACCGACACGCTCCAGACCAAGTCAACATGCAGTTCGGTGAATTGGAATGCCGCGTGGATGCTTGGTCACCATTGTCGTTGCCCGGGAGAAGCATCTGGCTTTCAAGCATTGTGGATGATGCTGGACAGTTGAAGCTAGAGCTTTTCGCCCGCAGTAAGATAGTGTCAAGGGACATGCTAGAAAGGTTACTAAAGGCGCTATGTGATATTTTAGAAGTTTTAGACAAAGAATTCTCTCTGTCTGTAGAGAACCTTGTGTCTAGGTAAGAAAACACAGATGTAGAACGCTACTCTACCCTAGAGGATGTGCGTGATCCTACCCTAGAGGATGTGCGCGATTGCACTACAATCGCGCTGTGTTGTTAGTAGCGATAAGAGAGCGATAAGAAGCGAGGCGTAGGATCGCGGTAGTAGGATCGCGGTTGGCTAGCTACGCTACCAA